ATTTACTTAAACACTGCTTTTTTTCAACTTATTTTTTTTTTTTCCCCACTGGTTTGCTTTGGAGAGGATCAGTACTGCCCTCAAGTGTCTCCACTGTCTAAAGTGAAGGGGGTCCATAGAGGGTTCTGGAGGCTATAGTGAGTGGACAAGAAAGAAATGAGATGATTGGATTGGTGGCTCAAGGCGGCAAAAAGAAGATATAATATAAAATAATAACATTTCACCAAACACTGACTGAAGAAGAATAAGAAGTTAGTTGACATGAGAACAGAGGAAGCAGTGGGCATCTCAAAACACTAAGTCTGGGTTAGTAGATTTCCAGGTTTTGGATGTAGTTAGCAGATAAACTAAAAGGTATAAGCTACAACTATAGCACTAATCTATAATGGTACACTTTAGTTCAATATACTATTTTGGGAAGTAAAACAAAATGATCACAGGACTCATGCAGCACTCTTTAATGTTTTAATGCAAAATGTTAAATATTAGAAACATAGTCTGGTAAAAATGTCACTATAACCAACCAAGTCAAGAATGAGTCCAACATATATAACGGCAAATGTGGTGAACAGTTTTAAGTTACCCCAGGTAGCTATGAGCTTCCCTGAGGCTGCCCCCAGTGTTACCACCAAACCTGCTGCTCGTCCATAAGCCTTTATGACGGGTACTGCCACTGCCACATACACACACACAGACACTGACACCATAAACACAACTTCCTCAAAGGACCTACATTTGTACAATATTTCTGTGGTAAAACTATATAGACTTACTCCACAAAATATAGCATCAACCAAAACTAAAGTATTTTCAAACATGGCTCTGATGGTAACATAAGGACGCAGGGCTAAAGCAGTGATGGCCCCAGCTATGGCCCCAGCAATAAATGTTATAAAAAACAGTTGTCCATCCATTCTTAGATTTGAAATATTGGCTTCTGTAGAGTTTTATTGAGTATAAGGTTCTACGGGAAGTATAGAGCTGTAGGATTGTTCAGCTGCTTCCAGTGTAACCTAAGAGAAAAAAAAAACAAAAAACTGAAAAACATGTTTTTGTCGACTCAATATATAGAATTCATAAGTTAATAATAGCTAATCTAAAACACGATTCGTTTTGACATTTAATGACAAAAACATCTTGACACTTTCACCTATAAGGATACAATAGTTGAAAAAAAAAAAAAACAACAAAAATTTGTAAGTTAGCAAGTATTTCTAACAAATAAGCCACTCACTTTATTTGTTATATCTATATTTGTATGATGTCTTACTTTGGGCTATTTTTGTAGTGATAAATGATGAGCATGTTAGTTCCGAGAATAGATCCTTACCTCCAACAAATTCTGCTTTGTTCCTCTACAAAAACAAAACAAATTAAAACGTGATCAACTTGGCTTGATTGACTTGATCAAATGTGTTAATTAAAATAATGATTTACAAACTAATTTAAAGTTTAAATTAGCACATTAAAGAGACTGAAATACACCTTACCAAATCATCAAATGGCTTTAAAAAGGTGTAAGTCATTTAGTCATGGTTATTTTGCAACCAGAGGAGGTTAAGGTCCGATTTGTAATAAATGACTCAGGTCGGTGTGGCCAGAACAAACGAAATAAAACCAAATGTTAATAATTAATTAAACTATACATGTACAATGAGCATAGAGCTGTACACGTTTTATAAAGTGCTGCCATTGATCCTACAGACACAAGTCCGCAGGCTCTCAACTACACTCTTGACAAGTTATTCTCAAACTTGGGTCCCTGGACTGTCTTCTGGTTATTAGAGATTTTTGTTATATAATTTTAAACAATTAAAGTTTTGATGACAACCAATAAATAAACAAAAAGGATTCATCTTCACTGTGTTCATTGGCCTCAGCCTTCATATCACTGCAGCCTCACACTTTATTCATTAAAAGCTACAATGTATTAAAACTCATGAGCAACTCTGTGTGTTCTTTTTGAGATAAAAAGATTTGGTTTTACTTTCACATGTTTCTGTGAGCATCTGTCTCTTTCTTCAGAAGCGTTTGAGTGTTGTGTTGTGTCAGTCATCAGATGATCCTCCTGGACGTGGATGAGCTGATAACTGACACAGCGATCAAACATCTCAAGGTAAAAAAACAAACCTTTTTATCCTAAAAAAAAAAAAAAGGACACACAAAGTTTTCTAACAGAATACATAATGAATTTCATGAATGAACATATGGGCGAATTGCGCTCACTTTGAACATTTGGATCAGATCTCTGTTGACATCTGGCAGTAGTGGCCAGTAGAACATGTTGAAATGGTTCATTACAAACACAACTATAAGTAACATGACACTAACATTTAGATTCCACAGTACAGGATACATGAATGAAACTCCAGGTACGTTTTGATGAATTAAAACAGAATAATAATGAATAAAAATACATTTAAACTCTACAAACTCTAACTAATGTATGTAATGTAATGTAGAAGGTTTGAATGTCAGGAAGGAAGATTCAAATGTTGTAAATAATGATTCCTTCTCAACTCTCTCATTTTGTCATTTTACACAGAAGATCATAACTCAGAAATATGAGCCGCTATCTGTCCGTGTTAGCATTGTGAAGCTCACACAGTGAAGAGTGCGAGCCAGTGAAAGCGTGTGTACACTAGCGCCACATGCGATAACATTCTCCCATTTCTTTTGCTGGAAATATTTATGCTCCATCCTCATCTGAGCGTGCAGTTCAAACAGACCGGGCACCCTGTTTCCAGACGCACTCGGCCTCCCGGGGGGCCTTCACCTATCAAACAAAGCATTGTACATGAACCCCACCCCTCCCTCCACACTGCCCCTTTCCACTTGTGTTTATATCTAGAGCTGATATCCATTTTCCAGTTCACGTATTGCTCCCAGGTATTTATTTTTAGCCAGGAATAAAAGAGTTTGAGGAGTTTGGTGAGATGTAAATAGTTGTGATCAGGTGCAGGTGTCCGGGGCCCACACGGCACTGCTCAGATGATGTTTAAATATAACATGAAAAGGATCTGGACATGTTTTAAGGTCAGTTTAGAGCAGCTGAAAAGAGAAGGATTCCAAGTTAATGTAAAACAGATTGACGGTAACACGCCATTGTCAGGATAAAGAAGTGGACAATGGACTAATAATGCACGGTTTGTATTGTGGACTAAGATCTGACTTCAGATCTGGTCCACTGGCCGTGTGGTGTTGAAGGATGGGTCAGACAATACATTTTCTCAAGGGGACAGTAGAGTGGGACAAAGCTCTTTTAGCCTAATATAACATCACAATAAATTACTATGCTTTTACTAAGTTTTTATTCTGCAAAATAATCTTTCTCCTTATTAACTTTCTTGAACTTTCATATTTATTTTATTTTGTGCATTTGTATAAAATAGTTAAGTAACTATGATCATATGTAATAATTACATTTCAATGAAAATTATTTGTCAAAATTAATTAAATACCCACATTCTCACTTCAAGGGCTTACTGTACATTATGCTTTTTTCTGATCTATGTTACAAAGTTGTTTCCTCACCATTTCATTCACACATTTTTACCACTTAAATTCTGCATATTTAGACAGAGTTCTTAATTCAGACTAAAAGACTTTGTTCAATGTCATGTGGAAATACAGGAATTGCTCCGTTGTGTTTTTAAACTTCATTCACCTTCACTAGAATCATTTAGATAATTTCAACCCTGGAATTACAGATCTCAAATAAATAAAAGACAGTAGCTGTTAACTTGAAAATGACCTTTTCATGATGTGTGAAAAATCCCTCAGTGGTCCAGGTAGAATCCATGGAAAAGGAGAAATCTAATTTGTCAAGTGGACAAAGTTTATTTATTTTACTCAAACAAATAAACTTTGTCCAGTTGACAAATTGAATTTCTCCTTTGTCATAGCTTTTCATGACATCACAACGTGGAACAGAGCATTTGCTTTAGAGCTTTGAAGATGTGGACAGACTAATAATAAAGGATTTCTCAAACAAAACACCACTCCAGGTAGGTCTTAATAGAGTCAAACTCTGACAAGTAAATTATGTGTGATATAGGAACTTTAAATGATAAAGAAAAGTTCAAAATCATCCTGAAATTTTTGAGGAAAAAAAATGTACAGGAGAAACCATAGGCACAGATTGGTTGCCATATTTCCGTCAGTCGGTCACAGGGCAGCTGTGACGTAGCTAGCGGAACCGAATGTGAATTAACATTGGCCTCCTCAGAGTACTGTATTCTGAATACTTGGAATATTTTTACATCGAGTTGCATTTCAATTCTAGTTAAAAAATACGATATATAATTACAAATATCTTATTATTGCTGCACCATATGTTATGCATTAATTTATATTTAATTTGAGAAGGAAAATCGCACAAGCACTCAACAAAAAAACTGCGCTTTCTTTTTTCTCACGATTACTGTGCAGTTTAAAGCCAAAATGACATGATGAAATACAGCCATGTATTCCTTTGTAAAATATATTGTATTGAATTTAGTATAGTAACCAGAATTCAGTTACTCAAAATTAGTTCTCAGAATAAGTTTTTTTGATACATGTATTCGGTTACTTCCCATCACTGCCAACAGGGTACATTTTCCCCAAACTTCTTGAAAATAAGTGATAATGGTGAGAGCCACGGGACCAGCAGGCAACCAGGCAGCGTGCGCGGGGTATGGACGGGGGGATGGGAGCCTCGTTTTGGGGAGAAATCTGGAACCCATAAACTTGGGCAACGTTTCTGTCGAAGAACGTCAGAGGGGCTCGCATCTGGTTGGCCCTTTGTCGCGCCTTTGTCTCCGCCTTTCTTCTTTGATGGGACCAATGGCTTCCAATCCGTTCTTCCTGTTGACTTAAGCTCAGCTGTGCACAGAAGTCCTTCAAACCAATCATGGCAGCACATGGGCGGGTAGCGAGGAAGTTCCGTGGTTCCCCTCCCTTTTAAAAAGTCCGATTCTAGTTTGTTGTCTCACATGCAGCTGGGCGAGAGGGGCCGGAGCGCGGTCTGGTGTGCAGATGCTGGAAAAAAACTTCAACAGTTCCACGTGTGGGTGAAGAAAGCTGCTGTGGAGATCCAAAATTCCCTTCGCATGGGATTTGATTTATCTCTGACACTTGGACAACCTTGAAGAAGACAATCGCTACACTACGGCGCGAGTTCTCCAAGAAACCAAGGGACAAGAAGGACAAGAAGAACTGAGCTCAACGCGACAGAAGAACTTAAAGTGACAGGTACTGGCAAGGGAAATTAAGCATGCGAGAAGAGGTCAAGTCCATGGACGACCACTCAGAAGGTCAGGTGGTCTCCAGGGCAGAGATTAAGGCGAGACAACCTTCCAACACCTGTCCGGTCGTTGTGGCAACACCTGGACTCAACGGGCGCAAGCGACACACAGGAAACCAAGATCATGTGACAGCCATGACCGTATCTGGTGAGGGCAAGCCAGGCCAAGACACTGTTCAGATTTACACGCCAAAAAGAATCAAGAGAAGTCCCCAGCACCGCTCACCTTCCTCTGGCCCATCTCTCTCCCCCGTCCCTGGTCCCAGCCCTGGAGGTCTGGGGTCCCTGGAAGACTCACACACCCAAAGAGTCATTGCCAACATCCGCGAACGGCAACGGACACAATCCTTGAACGAAGCTTTTGCCTCTCTGCGCAAAATCATCCCCACACTTCCATCGGACAAACTAAGCAAGATCCAGACTCTCAAGTTAGCATCGCGTTACATTGACTTTTTATACCAAGTTCTTCAAAGTGACGAGATGGACAGCAAACTAACTGGGTGCAACTACCTGGCTCACGAAAGACTTAGCTACGCCTTTTCGGTGTGGAGGATGGAAGGGGCTTGGTCATCCATGTCAGCTGGACACTAGTGGTTATTGTCATGTTATTGCTTCGCTGACTGGACAGTGTGGTTTTACATGATGGTTGTAACTATTGAGACTTTTAGCACCAAATATGTGTTATGTAAAAAGAAATCTATCTTTCGATCTTAGCTGAAGTAATTGTTATGAACTTTGAGACCATTTGGGCAAACTGACATTACTTGATCAACATATAGGAAACCCAGAGATGCACATTTTGAACAGAAAACTCAAACTTGGAATAACCGAACCCCTGGCAAACCCCTAACTATTCCAACTCTTTTTTCCAAGTTATTTTATGTATCCCCGACCACCTCTGAACTCCAAAGACTGTGGAAAAAGCATCCGTGGGCAGCAAACTCCACTCTCTTCTCTCCTTTTTTTTCTCGAAACCGAACCAAGCCCCTTTGTTTCTTGCAGTGCCAAAAAAACTCTCCTCTGCTGAATTCTTTCCTCTCCTCCTGGCCTGATTCTGCTAGGCTTGCACGAAACGCCGATACAGCCCTGTACTCGGGCGCGCTGACGAGGAGGCGTAATGAAAACAAACGGTTAAGAAAAGCCATGAATCACCGGTGTCACCATCAAAGAGGAGGCTGATGCGGCTCCCTGCTGTGCTCCCATAAACCACTGGGAGCGATGGAAGAGGTGAGAGGAGATTTATACACAAGAAGAGCATGTGAATATTGGTGTGGGCTGGAGACGTGCTCTATACTGCTCGTCCGGGCAGGGTTCACTCTGATTCTTGAGCTCAAGTCAAATTGCTTTGTTGCACAACTCTGGGAATTTTTATTAGATTGTTGCATTCTGGGTTGAACATGAGGAATGAAGTTGCATATGTATTACAAAACTTCAACATCGTTCAAATTCAAGTCCTGTTATTGATCCCCATGGCAAAATTCAAACTACTTTTAAAATTTGCCCAAGAGATTTCTGGTCATTTCCTGAAATCCGGGAATCCTACACCCACATTTGTGTTTTGTGGTGGTTCTCGCACAGTGATAAACATAATTTTACCTTGTTACAGCCAAAGACTGAGAGGGGCCCAGGCAATAGGCACCTGGGGCCCCTTGACCTCCGTGAACTTGAGGCACATACCTGAAAAACATCCATTACAAACCCATGTACATTCAAATCATAATTATGTATTCACTCACCTTCTTTGACTTATGGGAATGTTTTATATTTAAGTCAAGATTAACAAAAAAACAAAAAACTTACATTTTGTAGAAAGAGAAACCCCAAAAATGTCATGTCCCTATTTTGTAGAGACATGTTTATCTTCAAAACAAGTCCTTTGCCACAGCATGTGTTTGGTTAGGACAAAACCGTTTCTTAGAATCTCATGCTATGAATGAAGTAACGGAAGTGAGGCTTTAACACACCTATTTTACACATTCCACCTGTTCACATGACAGTACATGGCACTACTTGTGTTGTACTTTTTTCTGTCCGTTTCTCCGTGTTACAGCACCAGCCGCACACCAACACTAACACCAACATACACTGTGATTCTTACGCAGTGATCTGATTAACTGATGTGATAAAAGTGTATTGCACAATATAGTGATGTTTAAAGTACAGTACACCACTGGGAGAGACATAGAGACATGTCAAATGCGCATAAATGTTTTTCATGACACAATGAGAGGATTATGTTCTCCAAAAATCTACATTTATTTCAATGTTTTACCAAAAAATTGTTTTCCGTACTTGAAATTTATTTTAAGGATTTTTTGAAAAATTCAATTTGTTACATAACGTGTTCCTTCATCATGGCAAACATGTTTCTTAACCATCTTACAAGTTATCTAACCCAGCCATTTAAGCCAAGAGACAAAATGATTCTCCAGCAGAACAAAACATGTCCATGTATTGCTGAAAGTGCGAGTGAACTTCTGCCCGTTTACAGGACACACAGTAGATGACAGTTAGCACAGTGGTGTTAAATAAGAGGCACGGGGAAAGTGTGGCGCACCTGCCAGGTTGAGCTCTGACTGTGAGTCCTGAGCGAAGGCAGCTGGCTCAGGATCTGCTTCAAATCCACAGCGAGCACTTTCCCTGCGCTGGAACAGAGCAGGAAACACTACAGCCTATCATTAGAGTGGTGAGGAGTGCACTGTTTCCAGTGTGTATGTAAGCCATCCTCTACAGCCATAGTAAACACAATCTGCTGTATCCCAACGCCAACCGCTGACAAGCTACACACATGACATTTAGGGGCTTTCATTTGGCTCAGAATGAAAGAGAACATGCATTTAGAATTGTGTACGCTGGGGAGGCCGATTTTAGCAAGAAAGACGGAAAAAATATATCGTACAGTACAGAATTATAAGTTTTATCATTTTTTCTAATTATATTTAGTCTGACCAGATTTCTAAATCTCACTTCTAAAAACAATTTCACACTTAAACAGGTATTTTGTTTAAGTGCACACTTGCCTTTACTCGCAGTGGTAATAGCAATAATGACACGTGACATATCGATAACAAAAGAAGAATATTTAGATAAAAATGAAATAATTTTGTTTACCATAATTCTACTGAGAAATTTCACTGATGCTTATTTATTGGTGGGTTGTGAAAATATGTAACATTTAAAATTTTAGTTCAGTTTTTTTTCTCTCACTCGAGATATTTGAGGTCCCTCGTATAAAACAGATTACAATTAAAGAGATATAATTTTCTCCATGATGTAAAATACAGTGGATGAAAACCAGAAACAGGCCACTTTACATCACATTTAAGTGATCTTTAAAACTATAGCTAGACAGAAAGGTACAGCAACATAAAGACAAACATAGCAACTATATGAAAATTAAGAAAAAAATACTAATGTTGAGACTAAATCATGATCATTTGAAAGCTTTCTAAAACAGCTAAGTAGAGCGTTTCTCCTTATTGTCTTCTAGGCCTTCCTCTTTTCCGCCGTTTGGCACTGGAGCTCACAGTCCTCTCTTCCACTGCAGCTCTCTGAATAGTTGCGTAAATTTCTCCGATAATTTTGATAAGTTAACCGCGCTGAGTTATGCTGCAGAGTATGTCCAGTGCCAGCATTACAGCCCGATTACCTGACTGTATCCTCAAAGTACGGAAGCCTAATTAGACTAATTCAAAAATTGGCAAATAACTGTAGGCCTTTGTACTTTGGGTGCCTGTTTGCAATTACGCATGTTTTACTCTCCATAATGGTAACACTGGAAAATGTGAAAATGTTCTCTGTCAGGTGTCCCATGCATGACCTCCCTCGTGTTCCAGAGATACTGTACACGCGGCGGAGCTTCAAACATTACCCTGTGTCATCGCTGTTCGCCGAGTATACAAAATTAGCACATTCTCAAGTTTTTCCCTTTGTCTTTTGTCTTTCCAGATGCTAAAGTTACTGCGTCCTCACAAACAAATGTGCTTCGATTCTTCTGCTGTAATGGACCGCTGCAAATGGAACTATTTATGGACTTCAAAGGACTCTGACAAATAGTTGCCCGCATGTGGAAAGACGACATGTTTGGCCCAGAACGAAGCCAAACCGACATCCTGGGAGAAAATACCGAAGTTCTGCGGAGGACTTTGATATAAAGTTTCATTATCATCAATGCTGTTGTGGCTGCACGGACTGGAGCGGCCATTTTGTGCCATTCAAATAACTCGAATAAATAAATAAAAATATATAAAGTATTTTAATAGTCATTCACTTGTGCTGTACATTCTGTTCGCAGCAAAAATGAAAATCTAGCCAAGTTAAGATTACTTGAGTTAAGAAAGTTTTGATTAAATTTCACTTGACAAGTAAAATTATCGACTAATAGAACAAGATGATTTCTACTACATCTTGCTACACTTAAGATAAGAAGAACAACAACTATTGCACTTAAAATGAGAAAGAAAATGAAGAAAATGTTGCTTGAATTAACAAAAAGCACACGTATTCCTTTGGTAGATCATTTTACTTGTCAAGTTGAATCGACTCAAATAAAGAAAAATGTTCTTTTAAGTCATTTAACTTACGTAGATATTACTTTTTGCAGTGTTCTCTTCTATTACCACATCTACATTTGATTAACCAGTGGCACAGAAATGATTCACACACAAGACCTCAGGATGTTTCAGGTTGGAGTCTGCAGACAGCTGTTTCTTTACACATACAAAGTGAACAGAAAAGCCTGTGTCAGCAAAACAAATGCTTGAAAATGATCTGTCGAAATTGCTGGTCATTAACTAAATAAAATAAATAAATAAAATGCCAAATAACTCAATAATGATGAACGGTTTGGCCAATATATTGAACCGACGTTTACCCTTTGTAACATATTGGTGCACAGTGTAACGTTTCTTGTGGAGGTCGGCTACCGCTTTGTCTCTACTTTGATGTTTTTGTGTTTTTTGTCTGGAATGTTGCACACTATGGCATTAAACTTTTATATTTTTTCAATGACAGATGTTTTTATTGCGCAAAAATACCTTAAAAACATGCAATCTCCACCCTTCTGACCCGTAACTTTTGCCATTGTGGTGTCATCTGCGTGTCTGCATGAAGATAGATTAACCAAAACAATCACCATGGAGACAGAAATCAACTAGTAATGTTACACAGTGCATCTTTAAAGTTCCGATATAGGAAATTGTGAGCAGAGGAATATGTTGTGACAAAGAGCTCTTGTGTTCATTATCAAACTGTCCTGGAATTTGGATGTGGATCTGGTGAAGCTTCAGAGCAGCACCACGCCTTCAGATCTCGTTGTTTCTCTTCTTAAACTGTCTCCTGCTCCTCTCCTGCTCCCTTTGAACCAGGACTCAGGCATTTACAGAGAGAACATCCACCCACATGGGAAATGATGCTTGACTGTCCAAAAACAAGTTTATTGTAGAGATGTAATTTAGTATCAGAACAATGTACTTAACTATATACTCGTCTGGCATGGATGCACTGTTTTTGTTTTAATTTTCCCGTATTCTATTTCCCACACTGCAAAAAGCCTGGCCAAAATGTAACATATAAACTTAAATCTATCAGAAAATGACATAAAAGCAGTGTTTATGCAGCAAGATCATTTTACTTGACAAGTTATCTTAAAATAAACTACCTCTAGACTAGAATTAAGTAGTCTCAGAACTAGTAAGTAGATAATAAATCTGAAAACAACATGAAAAATCTGATATAAGTTTTAAAATCTTGGCCAGATCAGAGAAATTTGTAGTGCATATAAAACAGGTGATGGTTAGATTGCGTTTCTGAAAATAAGTGGAAGTTCCAACTGCACTTTCAAGATTTAAAGGTGCACTGTGCAACATTTTTGGTTTGGAATCCGTCACCTGCTTGTTTCTATGGATACAGTACGTCGTTGCTTTGCCTGGAATGTTCCACAGTATGAGATTAAGCAGATCTACCTACATTTATTCAATTACAGGTGGTTTTACGGCTCAAAAATGCTGAGAAAAACAGGCATTCTGACTGTGAACAGGGTCATCTCTCCGCAGATCTGACCTGTAACTTGGTCTGGTTTGGATTCCATGATGATAGAAACGTTAAATACCATATTGTGAAACATTCCAGTGAAAGCAATAGCATCTCCATGGAGAAAAGCGTTTGATAAGCCCTCCACCCAAAAAGTTACACAATGCACAAAAAAATCTCATATGTATTTTATTTATTTTTTAAAAAACACAGCAGTACCATGCCGAGTGTCTTTAAGCTTGTGTAGTCCCTGGTCAGCATTGGTGTCAAACGCTTTTTTCAATTTAGCCTCGATGAATGTGCTGTTCAAAATAAATCAACATCTGTCACCATTAAAATTATGTTTCTGTTTCAGTGTGATGAAAACGTTGCATCGTTACCAATCGACAACAGGAAACAGAAACCCGTGAAAAAACTCGTTTTCTGTCTCTGAAAATGTTGTTTGACTTATAGAAACAGCTCTGGTCTGTGTGTGATGTAGTTTCTGTGTCTGCCAATGGTACAGGTTTCAATCATTTTGTTTAGACCAAGTTGTTTATCAATCAAGCAGGTGAAGCTAGCTGCTAATTTATTGTTTGGAAAGTTGCTGTTTAGGAAAAAATAAGTAATTCTCCACAATATGAAACGAAATAAGACAGACCTCATAGTGAAAATTCTTTTAATAAGGGGAGACCAACAGTAAAAAATAGACAATCTCTATACAAAGTAGGAAAAGTCAAGATTACATGTAAAGAACAGTATGAAACAAAGATTCCAATGTCATGTTTACACAGACAGAGTTAAGTCCAGTTAGTTGCCAATACACAGTACTGAATGCATCAAGGCACACATTGTGTATTTTGGTCTTTGAGTTTCTATTTACAGTGTATTACTAACAAGAAAATGACATCAGTAATAAAAAGGGAATTAAGAGTTGAGGCAATACTGGCCCCTATGTGTTTAAGACAAAAACAGTCACTATAAATATAATACAGGAGGTCATTACACCAAGATAAGGCTAACACTTGCAAAGGCAGTCACACAGTACACAAGTGAATACTGTACTTATGTGTACTACAGTCACAGATGTAGGTTTACTTCATTAAAGGCCTGCGGGCAAGAGACACAGCATGGTCAAAATGGCTGACACCTGAAGGCTGGTTATTTTGTTTTAAATTATAGGCCTGTTTAAGTTATAGGCCTAAAGTAAATGTAATGTAGCTTTCACTTTGTATTGAGACTAGTTATGTAAGATCTAAAAGTGAATAGCAAAGGTTTAACTTGTCAATTTTAGACTGAGGTTTATTATTATTAAGGCATTTAGTGAGGGTTCTGGATTTAACTAAAACTATTTAACTGCAATGACGTTTTCCTGATTTTCAAACCCTGCTTTGTTTATTGTGGTTAAGGGTGCTTAAGACTGCAGACTAGTAACAATGCTTCTCATGTAACGACTCGGTTTAGGAATTATAATGCCACTTTAAGCATTTATTAAACATAATTACAAAATCCAGATTAGGCCAAATCTCTGGCCTAGTGCGACTGAGGATGTTGACCACACTGACATAATATTTGATTAAAAATAAGTAGCCTTTAAAGGTCTTATATTACACAAAATGGATTCTTGTGAGCTTTAAGCCGTGTTATAATGTTGTTACCTCATCAAAAACAGGTTTGGTTTCATTCACACATGTTTGAGTAATCCTGGTTTATTAGGCTATGTTTATATGATGACGGTCTGAACAGAAGACGTTTAGACGCGTTCAGACGAGGGAGGAAATCTGCCTGCATACGGTGACGCAAAAGTGTGTGGAATTCGATTGGGTATGCATGGTGGTGGTGATTTATGTGATGAAAATGTGTTCGTGAGCAGATCTGACCAGAGTTTTGCATCTTGGGCAGTGTAGATGGAAAAGCTACGGTTGAGCGTATTCAACTTTTCCACTCTGGAAGGTGGTTTCAGATTTTTGCGTTTTTAAGCCCCCAAAACGCCGCCACTATCTAAACGAAAGGCACTTCCGATAAAATATTTTGTCATTTTTAACCGCAAGTGTTATGCCCTCAGTCTGTCTACATTTCCAAAACTGAAAATGCTTAGTTAACAGAAGACAGTGTTAAACATGTGTGAATAAAACAAAACACAACTCAGATGAGAAAACAACCTCACAAAAATCCAAAAAATTGTGTAACATGGGCCCTTTAAGTTGTATACCAAAAGAATAAAAAAGCTAATTACTATACAGTAAATCCACAGGTTCAGATGCAGAGGGCAGGTGCATACTGGCCCCTCTGCGTACAGTCTCTTTGCCTTTTTGCAGGCTGTTTCTAAGGCAGTTGTCTTTGGGTGACTTCTATTAAGTGCATGTATTTATTGCAGCTACAATTCGATGGTCCTCAGCATGGCCACAGTGGAATGAACGCTCCTTTAGTCTCAGGACAAACAGTAATATACTGTACACAGGCATCAATACTAGTGGTAGAGAAGGTCATGGTTAGGTACAGTATGTGCTTTTAAGACTCCACTGCTCGCAAATCTCGTCTACTTTTCAACGTAGCTTTATAAGAAATACAACTCAAGTATTTCGGTCAGCATGTGTCCTAGGAACCAGATATAAGGCATGATCAAAGGGAGAAACACAGCCATACAAATCTTCAAGAAACCATTAAATAGGCTATACAAAGAGGAGCTTTGGGTCTGCTGATGGTTCACATTATGGACTGAACAGTGCAAACAACAAGGACCTCAGCCCTAATTCTGTTTTCTGTCTTCATCTCTCTTCTCTCCTCCTCTAATAGTGGTTATGCTGACATCAAATCAAATGCAATGTCCGCTCGGCATCGTATTCACAAGTCCATTCTTCATCAAAGTGTTACGAAAAAAACAAAACAAAACATGGAATCATTGACAGTTCGCAAATGTCCTTCTGGAACCGGATATTGGTCCTATCGTTTTAAGGCGGATAAGGTGATAAAAGTCTGTTCCCATACTAGTCCGATGTCAGTTAGAAAGACAGTCTGGTATTGCTCTTTGGTGAGGTTTCTTGAGGTTTCCCAGCAGAAGTTTCACCACTGGTTTGAACTAAAGGTTTATTAGCACCGAGGTGGTATTTCTAGAGGTGCTGACATACGCCTGGTTGGCAGTGGGTGTGGGTTTAATAAGGCAGGTGGTGGGGCTCAATCTCGCGCCCCTTGTGGTCACTCGAAACAGCGCAAAACAATCTACAGAAGAGTTTTCTACATGGACTCGCTGTCATCTTCCATTGGCTCATCAGAAAGGCTACGAAAAGACAAATAAAAATGAGCTAAAATACCGAGATAAGGTTGTTTTAAAGATTTGAGGTATACTTACGTCTCATTGGACAGTACCCCCACGGACAGGGAGGCTAAGGCATTGACCGCGTCCGTCTCCTCGCAGTCTCTTCTCTGGGCGCACAGGTACGAGAGAGGCACAGATCCACTGGAGCCTTTCAAACTCTGCCAGTACTGACCTAAATATTAAAGGAATAAATCAAAAATCCATCAGAAGTGATATGGTTGTTGAGGTTCAAATGTTTTGTTTTTGTTTGCTTATTTTCTAAGGCAGCTGGGAGGGCTTGTAAAAAACGCAAATGCTGCAAAAAAAATACAAATGCGACAACAAAAATGCAAATGTCACAACATAACAAAAAGCCACAACACACCAAAAAAAGACACAACGGAAGTGACCGAGGGACGGACCAAGGGACCAAGCAACGGTCAGACAGTGACATCGATTACTTTTACTTACATTCTCAACTTCGTTCACTTCTGCGTTCCTTTACTTTTCACATTCTTGTTCTTCTTCAACTTTTCCCATTCACTTCCTTGATCCTTTAACACTTCGCTTGGTCCATCAGAAAATAGAGTCCCGCAGTCACTTCCATTGTGGCTTTTTGGTTTATTGTGGCTTTTTGTTGTGTTGTCGCATTTGTATTTGTTGTGGCGTTTGCATTAAAATAAGAGTCCCGCGGTCACTTCCGCTGTGGATTTTTTTTGGTGTGTTGTGGCTTTTTTGGTTTGTTGTGGCTTTTTTTTTAGTTTGTTGTGGCTTAATGTTGTGTTGTCGCATTTTTATTTGTTGTGGTGTTTGCGTTTGTCATGAGCACTCCTGGCTTCCCTAGTTGTCCAACTATTTGTACATGTTAATTAAGCGGTGCATTAAAGTGTCTGTACCTGATTTTAACTTATTCTAGTCAAGATAAATACGCTTTACATGGCACAATTTTACAAAAAATCATGAGCAACCAACTATCTAACACTATCCAAACCAGCCAGACCCTGTATTATTTGTCATGGTGCAATTTCAAAAGTAATACAATTGCAAATAGTAGGCAGAGATTTGAAAACCATGAGCAAAAAACTGCATGACACTATCCCAAACTGTTGTTTCTGTATCATGGTGCAATATTCAATTGGCTGAAAGGACTAGGTGGGCAGTTCTACAGGTCCAAACTAAAACATGTTCCTGACTCACAGTTTGAAATCAGGTACAGGCCCTTTAAATACAACAGACATCCACACTGGTGTTACTCACTTTGTATCTGGATGACAGTCTGCAGGGAGCGCACGGCGTTGGCATTTGGTTTCTGCATCAGAACTTCCTCTGATAGCAGCTCCTGAAAGACAGAGATAATGTTCATATTTGAGTTGTTTTTTGTTTTGTTTTTTTCATTTCAGGAATCATGTTTTAAACCTTCTCAAACATCTGTGCTCCCTGGTGAATTTCATACATTTTTGGCATTGGTCACACATAGTTGTCTCAGACCATCAAACACAATGATACAATGGTACAGTATATGAAAACTGAAGATCTGTTTGTGGATAAAAAGCTTGAAATTGTATTGTAAGCTTTCATTTTTGAAGACTAGTGACTAATTTAATCCTATATTACCCTGTTTTGTAATCAATGTTATAATGCTTCCACACAAAAACATACCTAGAGCTGTGTTTTTTTTCATTCACACATGTTTAACCTTCATCATTTGGATAATTTTATCCTTGGAATTGCTTATTTTTATAAACTGTAAAAGGTAAAAAGAGATGTAGACAGACTAATAATAAACCAGGATTACTCAAACATGTGTGATGTGTGATTGACTCTGGGTATGTTTCTGAGGAGGTAACATTGTCACATGACTTAAAGCTCACAAGAATCCCTTTTGTGTAACACAGGACCTTTAAAGGCTACTTATTTTTAATAAAATATTATGTCAATGTAGTCAGTGTCTTTATAATTCCTAATTCCTTTATAATTCCTAAACATTACATGAAAAGATTTGTTACTAGTCTGCAGTCTTAAGCCGGGCGTACACTTTTGGCCCTTTTTGAGCCGATTTTTCACTTGTGGATTGTGCCGAGGTTTGGCTTAACTGTGTGCCGTGCTTCATGTAGTAAACATGGGGTAACAAGAACCAATTAATACCTCACGATCAGCTCTCGGCAATTGTAGGTCGCAAGAATATCAAACCTGTTTGAAATCCAGTCGCCTCTCGTGAGGTTTTCGCACAGAGCATCAGTTCGTATAGTGTGAAAACATGAATCGTGAGCTATGAACTTTTAAACCCTTTGGTCATTTGGTCATACAGTTTGAGCTGGGGCTGAGTGAAACAATCGAAAATATCACACAGTGTATGCATTAAGCAGCTTTAAGCACAATAAACAAAGCAGGGTTTGAAAATCAGGAAAACGTCAATTTTGCATAATATAAACTAAATAAATTAAACCTCACTTGTTCAAAAAGTTTTCTGAGGAGGTCAACCAGGCTGACTAATTCCACAATGGTTCAGCTAAATACCCTGTGCACTCTATGTTGTGAGTTATGCACATTGAATAAGACAGGAGCTAACCGCAGCAGTTATAAATGCCTCTTATGTATATCTATCCAATGGGGAGTTTCCAGGCCCCTGAACACCCATGGAAATTCCACAAACCCTCTAAACACATCACACAGAACTATTCTTCAGACACTTGTCTTTTCACCTGTAGACCCAGCAGAGCTCCCACACAGGACTCCGAAGCATCGCAGATGGCGGTAAGGTCGTGACCTCCTTCGAGCGCGAGCACCAGCCGACCCCCAGCCAGGGCCATGAGCTGTCGGGTCAGGAAGCCAAAGCCTGTCACAGAGATACAAGTGTCAACCACAGAAAAGACGACTGCTTACCGTAAATGACATCGTAGTAACGTCCAATATTCTTTCAAAACAAATCTGTATTTTTAACTTGGGGATCCTCCCACAGCAAACTAGCAACTACTCATTACGGTAATTATGGCCCGACAACTGGGCTTTGAGTCGTAATAATCTAATAATATCTTTCGAGGACCACGAGCAAAACTAGAGAAGAGGGAGCGTGTGGTGAGAGGAGCGTACATTTGGCAGAAACTTTGTAGCCTCCCAGTGGAGCAGGGTTACCCTCCGCAGCATCGAACCCGGCTGAGACCAGCACGACATCAGGGGAGAACTCCTGAGCTATGGGCATCACCACGGTTCTGTAAAATAAAGAAGAGAAAAGGTTAGACAAGACTTCCTACGGCAACATTAACAGCGATGACAAGAAAAATCTCTCACTTTATTTATTCAATCAATGACGATTTTCAGTTTAATTTGACTTTGTGTTAATTAAAATTCGATATTTTAACATAAACAATACAGACAGAAAGAAGAGAAACATTTAGCAACTACTGTCAGGCAAACAAAAAAAATCACAACTTTTAAAATTATTATTGTTTTGATCAATGGCGATTTTCAGTTTGATTTTTATTTTGTTTTAATTAAAATAGCTTTCAGTATTATTTTACTGAACATAAACCATACAGATTAATCAGTGCCATTTAAAACAAACAAAACTACTCAAATTTCTTCCTCCATAGTCTTTTACTGACAGAAGATCGGCTGTACACTTCTCAATTAAAACTGACAAGTAGAAATTACTGAATCGCACTGTGATTAAAATTTTATTCATTCCTGTTAAGAGAAATTCCATATCTGTGCTGTACGGAGCTTCACTGCCAGCTCAGTCCTTCCTTGTTATCTTGGCTTGTGTCATCAGAGATATAATACTCCCTACAACAGCAGCATAGCCAGATTAGCCTTTACTACACTACACTGTCATAATGTCTGATGTAAATACACTTCTCCTGTGTCAGAACTCCAGCATCATCCCTCTTCTTCCAACTCTGGAGCTACTACTTTTTATTCCACAACTGTTACACAACCCAAAGGTCATGTGTTTTTCTTTTCTTAACCAAAAACATGACAACTGTAACTTACAAACTGCTTGCCTTGCCATTGTTCTGATCAGCTGCTCCACGTTTGTCTACAGTCCTCTCTGTAAGTGACCAGATAAGACCAGTCCAAAAGACCAGTCCAATACGTGTAATTGTGGATAAAGTTGCCGGGGAAACCTAGCCTAAAACAAACGGGAACTTAAAAGGTGAATCATCAGAATAACTTCCTCACGAGAAGATGATTCACTGGATTTTTACTTTGGCAACCTCTGAAAGAAGGAGAAGTCTTGTGGAGAGGTTAAGATGAACATGCCTATTTGCTCTATTTGTGCGCAATTAAATTAATTTCTTGCTTTTGTTATGCTTCTTTTATTATTCAAACCTGGACTGTCTTAAGCAGAGGTGGGAGCACTCATTTTTAATACACCATTTAAGTAAAATGTTCTCAGAAAATGTTCTTTCTTTGTCTGGAATGTTTCACAGTATGACATTAAACCTTTCCATCTTCATGGAGACCAAACCAGACCAAGTTACAGGTCGGATCTGTGGTGAAGCGACCCCACTCACAGTCAGAATGCCTGTTTTTCTACACATTTTGAGCTATAAACCCACTTGTAATTGAATAAATGTAAGACAAATCTGTTTAATATCACATTCTCAGCAAAGCAATGACGAGAAGGTGACAGACCCCCAAACAAAAAGTTACACAGTGCACCTTTAAACTCACTCAAAGTAAAACGCTGAGAGCAACAAAACGTATAATCCAACATAAAAAACCATTAGCATGACAAGCGGATGCAAAAGCTCTGTTTGAAAGTGCTCTCGCTGCCGACAAAGCACCATTGATGAATCTGCGGAGCGTGAGTAACACAAAGTCATATTGTTTGGTCAGCTCTCTGTTGTTTGTTGGACTGTAAACAGAACCGAGATCTCCTTAATGCTATTGTTGTGAAGGGAATAGAACGTTGCTGTCCCGAGGCGGGCTGGGTGCGGTGGGGGCTGGGGTGGGGGGGCTCTGTGGCGGCCCAGTTCAAAGCCTGAGTGAGGCAGTCTGTTTCCCATTAGAGGCTTGTCACTCTCCTCACGTCATTGACAACACAGAGAGAAGAGGAAAAACAGTCCATCTGGGATCCATTTACCTTCATTATTCTGCCTGGGGACTTTGTAGACCCCCCCCACCCCCACCTCACCCTCCCCTTCCTCGTGCGCACATACATAAACGCAGACTCGGACGCACATATCGGGATGTGTGCGATGCTGTCATGGCTGCGTGCAGATGGACAACGTGAGCTCATTGATAGAACACGAGATATAAACACGTAAACACCTTTCTGTGAGTGGATACACGGCAAAGGGAAATGCCAAACACTGATTATGTAAACATACACAAAAACAAGGACGCGAGCCCATCCAACTCTTCATCACTTCCAGAACTTTTAAAGTGTGTTGAGTGAACTTAAAAGGAGCCATTTCAGCTGTAAACTAGGAATGTCCCAACGCGACTTTCTCTAGAAGAAGTCAAATTGGCTAATGAACCATAAAAAGTTTGCAGACAATGCGCTGTTGTCCTTTCACAGATCACTTTGAATGAGTCTCCTGTGGGCAGCATTATTATTATTTTATTTAATTTATGTGCAGTTAACCTTCATTTCCCCCAAAAAGGTATAAACTGTCCTCATGGTTTTCTGTAGGCACTGAACATTTTTGTGAATGCACCCTGATTATGGCCTATAGCTACAAAAGGCTTCACAAATAGTATTGGGGGGTAGAACTTTTAAAGTATTTAGCCAAAACAATAAAAATTAAGTAACAGAAAGTTGTACTGATATATAAGTTACTGTCTTTATAGAATAGTGCTCAATTTTGGTACACTGCCAGTTAGTGTCCATTCCACTTGTTAAGAAATGTAAGCTTTATGCAAGGGCTGACAGCCAGCATTATACATTACTTTAACTAAGATATGAAATATATGTTATGTGTCTTGTCTAAGGACACAAAACCAGCCTGCACTTTATTATAATTGCCAGTTCGAGTCTGTTGCTGTCCATTTTGGCTACACGTGATTGGAGATTAATACAGCTCACTACAAACTGGGCTTTTGCGGTTGGTGTCATACTCTATTTCTAAAATTGTCCATTTCTCACAACAACTCTTTTTCATCAATGACTTTCAGTTACTCAAGAGAAATCCCAGTGACTAACACAGTCTTCCGTCATCTCGGCCGTTCTTAGGAGTAGGTATATCACGTCTTCGTTCTGATATGGCGCCCCGCTGTCAGGACGTGAGGAATGCACACAATAACGTCGCCGTTCACATCCAACCGCAAAAACCCAGGGCCCACCTCCTGCGTGGAGCCATTAAAGCCAACCCGCTCCCCTAGGACTGAGAGACTACAGACAAACTAATGGAAAAGATGGAGGAGGCGGGAGACGCTGAGGGGAGCCTTATTAAAGATCAATCAGAGGAGGAGCGGAAAAAGGGAGAGCGCATTGGGGGCTGGGGGTGATGGAAAAGAACGAGGGGGTGTGAGTCAGGAATAAAAGAAAAAAAAAATACAAAAAACTCACAAACTTTAAGACCATAAAAGTGGAGCTATTAAAGTCTTTAATGGTTTGGTTGCAGGTGAGGGGTGTGTGTGGTAAGAGGGGGGGGGGTTTAATGAGAAAGAAACTATTGAGGTGGTTGGCAAACTACGCTATCGGCTTTTAAAATGAGAGCAACACCAAAACAGAGCAGGAAAAATTACTGAACCATCCTAAACGCGTCAAGAGTTTTATATGTTGTCTGCTATTATCATGACATCAGTGCCATTTACACGACTGGTGTTCCACAAGGTTCAGTTTTAAGACCGAAACTGTTTATTCAATTAAATGTCATTAGTTGCAGTATGCCCTAAACAGTAAAGATGACAACAGTTTTAATTTTATCATGAGGACAAATTTGTGATATATTGTACTCTAAGTAAAATAGTTCCTCAGGGCACAGTTTTAGGGTCAAATAATTACCCTTTATTTGATGAATAGTGGATCATCTCTGCTTATGTTTATTTTGTTTATCTCTGCTACATTATAAGTTAAAATATATTTAATATTAGTGCAAAAAATTATATGGGAAATCGGTTTATATTGCAAATTTTTTGTTTAATGAGAAATATAAATGACTACAACTCTGTATTGAATGTAGAAACCAACAAATGTTCCTGTTCAATCAAAAATCACTGCTTCATTGTCCGTTTAAATCCTCATCTTTATTTAAAAATCTGAAATATTGACTAATAAAATTGTAGAGTGACAGTAATTCCTTAATGTTTTTGATACAAATAGTGCAATATAAATGCAATCACTTTTTTCTTGGCTTTTTGCTAGTGTAATTGTAAATGCGGCCAAAGGTAGACTCATAAAGGAAACATCTTTATTTAAAAATCTGAAATATTGAGTAACAAAATGACATAGTGACTGTAGTTTCTTAATGTTTTTGATACAACTAGAGCAATATAAATGTAATCACTTTTTTCTTGGCTTTTTGCTAGTGTAATTGTAATTGCGGCCAAAGGTAGACTCATAAAGTAAACTATTCTTCGATTTCCCCTTTCCATCTATAATTTCACTAATTAGTCTTCCTTCCTCTATTGGCACATTTTCCGGTGTTGTTTATATGTGGTAAACTTAGTCCATCTGGCGTTGTAAACAAAGAATTTCTTAGAACTTTAAGTCCAAATCCACAAGTTTGGCAATTTGCAATAAAACAATACAAATTACATTTTAAGGGGACACAACCTTTCCAATTATTCATTTTGGTTTGAAAAACAGGGTCAATTGTCTTTTAATTATCAATCTGAAATGTAATCAACAATCAATTCATCTTTTAACGGTAAAAAAGCACTGTGGAGCCAATACGCTTCCTGCTCTGATTGGGAAAACAAACAAGGAGGGTCTAATCATAATCGTAATTATGAGCCATAGATCAGAAACATATGTGCCGTAATCCAAGATTGAACTGAATCAACTAATACAAACTCCACTGTTCCTTTATTAAATTGAGAAATTAGGATATGATTACAGAACATGGACAATTTGTGTTTTACTTGCAGACTCGCCCTTTCCTGCTGCGAGGCAGGGTCAGAGGTCATTGTCAGTTAGATGCCACACAAGATGCCAGAGTACATAAGCCTTTCCTGACATGCTTTCTCAGCTATAGTACACATTCATACATCATTCAAACATCATAACTCGCCCGCACCTGTGAGAACGAGGGGGTGCAAATATATTGTTGATGCTTGCAGGAGTAGTACTTATTAGTCACATCTTACAAATACACCAAGAGAGAAAGAATTCAGAGTCAGCTAAGTGTGTGCATTATAACATTGCAGTAGAAGCTTTGCAAAAGCTTTGTGCGTTTGTGAAATACAGGCGACATTATAGTATACTGATTTAACTGAGATATTTGGTGTAGAGCTGCACGATTTGGGAAAAATATCGAATTGCATTTATTTATTTATTTTTTATTCTTTGGACAAGCACTGCATAAAAAGATTTAGATTTGTTATTTATGTTTTAATGATAGGATTCTGATCAAAGTTCTGAAACATGAACATATATGACAAACTAATCATATTTAATTAGTTTGAACAGATCTAAACTGCAGGGTTAGCTTTTTTATGCAAAATAAGACAGGATATTTTGTTTTTTGTGGTGGAAGTTATTGTACTCAAAATGACTGCAGTATTTGTGGTTTGCTAATAATGTTAATTCAAGTTGCGTTTCGTTTCGATTGCAATTAGTCTTGAAACCCAAGTTTGTATCAGCGATAGGCCTATATTTAGTTGGGGGTGACCACTTTATTTGAACATTTGAATACTGTGAAGACTGTGGAAGTCTAAAAGTCTTCTTCTTTTTATGTTAATTGTAATTTATAATATAACTTGTAATAATTGGCCGCAAATATCAGCCTCAATACATTGGTAGAGCTTTTTCGCATATTGGTATCTGGAATATGGTCAGATATTTCTTTACAGCATGACTAACTATACTTTCTCTACTAACTCTCAATAAAATGCTTGATCATAATTAATGGAAGATTTAACTTTTAGTCTATTCAGTATCCATCTTCTAATTGATTTTGTAAATACATAATGGTTTACTTTGTTGATGTGTGATTATGTGAATGTGTGTGGGCTACAGAGTGGACAGTGTGAATAGCTCCTATTGTTGACTGAATGTAATTGCGCTGTATAATTTATTTCTGTAAATCAGGGGCTGCAGATGGAAACTAGCTGTTTATTTTTATTATCTGGTGTGGAACATCTCTGTTTTTATTAGTCTAATGTCTCTGTACATTGTCCCTTCAAATAAAGACTAAACAGAGTGATTGTTATATTAGAGAAGAACTGTAGGTGTTTTATAATGACAATGTATAGGAAATAAATAGGGATGCACCGATACCGATATAGAATATCAGCACTGATACTGAAAAGTTTGATATCGGTTAAATCGATATCGTGGTTGGGCCTTTAACTGGATGTAATAAGGCTATTTACAAGCTGATTTTGGTCTAGAATGTTGCATAATGTTTGAACTTTTATTCATATGAAGCTGTTGCTGTAGTGATGTGAAGGACAAATAACACTTGCATCACGCAATTGGATCTCTCTTGGATCTCTTATTGTGATTTTTTGCAGTATCAATATCTGCTCAAATGATTATCTAGTTTCAGTATTAGTTTTAGTATCGATTGGTATCTGATTTCAATACTTATATCAACCCCACATGACATTGATATTCCACATTTAATTTGGAAAATTCATGCTAAATGTACGTTCTGATGCAGTTTATAAATAAGGGCTGGCATCAAGTCCATTTTGTTTCATGTAATGTCTCTTGTGTAATAAATTTTAAGGCGCCATTATCAGTCCCTACACTGATACTGGTTAATATCTGGAATCAACTGATATTTTTGATGGTTCCTTGACCACGTGACCAACGATAATACCAGGTCAAAAACCGTTGTGAATATTCTGATGTATCTAGATCACCCAAAGACTTCCATAAAGACACCTCATATTAATGACCCCTCTGCAGTGGCCTGTGTTTGTACATACCATAACAGCATTCACATGTTCGTCATTATTGAGCCTGCCTTCGCCACTGTACCCCCCCTTTTCCATAACGCTGCGGTTGCCACAGTTTCCTAAAGCTTTCGGCGCTGCAGACTAGAAAACAGCCCACACTCCTGAAGCTTAACTGCTGCCAACCACCCACCAATGACAATTATGGAAGCCACCAGCAGGAAGTAGCCGTCTGCGCTCTGTCAAACGCACAACCTGCACACAATTTACTGTAAGGAATCGCCAGTTATTGGAACAGAGGCCAGAGCCAGACACATGCTCCCCAAATGACAGGGATTATTAATTACGCAAGAGATACGTCAACGCAGAAGTGTTTGTTGTGGCTCGAGGAGGAAACTGGGGGAATTGACAGATTACAATCCAGGCAGAAATCATAATAGGGATCAATAAAAAGACAATAAAGGAAACATCAAAGCTAAACTAAGCTGTCACTGGCAAATGTTGCAAAGAAGTACAGTTTGAGACATTGTGCTTTGATTTGCAGTTCATTTGAAGAGAGTTATGCGCTATTGTGTCATCCAATAGAATTTAAGAATCACATTTTTATATTAATCCTGATGATGTGATAATTTTACCTGAACGCAGCAATATATTCTGCGTCTCCCATGGGCGGGTCCAGTCCTCCGGTAAAGGCCACGTTGACATTGAAGCCTTCCCCTGCCCCTGATCCAACCTGAGAGTAAGTACACATCTATGTTAGGATCAAAGATTAACAGTTTTTACTGTTTATTTATTATGATTATTATTATTTTTTTTACTTTTTAGGCTATCTTCATTCTCTGTAAACGAACATGCAATCTTTACCAGAGCAAAATTCAGTTAGCCTGATTCATCAGCTGGTTTCACTTCGTAGAAACCTTCTGACCTCGCAGTGGTAGGATTCGTTCACTCGTCAGTAGGCAGGTACTTTTTTTATTTAACCAATTGCTACTATTTGATTGTGAAGTGTGTAATGCTCCACTAATGGGGCTAACTGGTATATTAAGCTTTTCCCAAATGCCGTAGGAAGAAGGGCGATAACGTCTTTCTCCTTGATAAAATTCACCACACATTCTCTTTGTTTCGGCTTTAAATCCTCGATCTCGGGAATCGTTGCCAACACAGAAAGCATGGCTCTTCGCTGATTGGCTGGTGCCCGAACTCGCACTTCTGGGGTTTTTGTGAACCGTCTAGTGTAGTTGCTAGAGAGAAATGAAATTGAGCGGAGGCACTAGGGTGGCGCCAGTCTGGCAAGAATTCAGTTGCCACGATACTAAAATTTCAAACTTGATTTCGATACTAAATAATTAACAATATTGATTATGATACCGCAATTAAGTTTTTTGTATTACAATGTCATTTTCATAGATAAAATAATGGTAGCTTTTATCTTAGCATGACATCTTATTTATTTGTGGTGATAAAGCTTGAAATCATACTAAAACTGTTCATCAGGAAAGCTCAAATTTTGATTTTATTGTGATTTTTTGCAGTATCAATATCTATTGAAATGATGATCTAGTTTCAATATTAATTTTAGTATTGATTAGTATCTGATTTCAATACTTGTAACAACCCTACATATTGATATTCCACATTTAATTTGGCAGATTAATGATAAGTGCACGTTCTGATGCAGTTTATAAATAAGGGCTGGCATCAAGTCCATTTTGTTTAATGTAACTGCAATGCCTAATAGATGCTTACAAATTGATATTACTCACTTCTGCAGGAGAGCCACTGCCAGGGAAGAAGTTGCCATCATCATAACGGTGTAGGGATATATACAGGACGTTGGGGTCGTTGTAGAAAACTTCCTGGGTACCGTTACCATGGTGAACATCCTGATTAAGAGATCAGAGGTTTGACTTCAGAGAAACGTCCTCATGTGTTGCTTAAGTATTCATATTTACAGCTTCTTACCCAGTCAACGATGAGAATCTTGCTGACACTAAGTTTGTGCTGAAGCTGCTTGGCGGCGATGGCCACTGAATTGAAGTAACAGAAACCCCTGAGGAAAAAACAAAGGAATGTTAACATGAGTCAGAAGAAGTTAAATAATGATAATAATAACACATTTTATTTATATAGTGGTTTTCAGGACGCTTTGCAGAACAAATATTAAAGTAAGCAATAAACCAATAATACAGGAAAGATAAAAACTGTGAATCATCTTGAGAAACGTCAAACATTAATAGCTATTCTAAATTCCAAGTCTAAAGTTGTCAAAAGGCAAGGATAAAAACTTTATTGAAGACCTTTTAAACAGAAGAGGTGATGTTTTGCTTTGCTTTGTTTTTACCGTTCCCTTTGCTGCATTAAAAAGTTATGTTTGTGAAGAAATGAAAACGGAACTGTTCTCAAGTTTTGTTTTCCCAGCCTTACAGCCGATTCATGATCTAATCTAACAGATATCTCACAGACGAATCTCTCTTTAATTAAATAAACATAACATCTTATACTGCCTAGATCCTGAATCACTGGAAACTCTTCATCCACAGTCTATCTACCAGCTAAATCTCTAATAAACACCACTATAGCTGCTAACATAAGGAAAGACAGGAAGCCTTCACTGTCGTAAAACAAAGCATTCGTTTCATGTGTTTTCAACAACATTACATTTACTTCCATTCATTTCCGACACACATCCTCCACCACGACATGCCTGGCTTACACCATAATGCCAACCTTTAAACCAACTTTACAGGCAGATACTCGTCCCTTCAAGGCCCTGTGGAAACTGTCTTAGCGGCCTGGGGTCTAATGAAAGCACCACACAGGAGCACACTTACATTGGGTTGGACGGGTCTGCGTGGTGCCCCGGTGGTCTGACCACAGCAAAGCCATTCTGTACGGAAGAAGAAGAAATGTAATTAATGACTGTTCCACAAGACAGGAGATTGTTTACTCGAAGAAATCTGCAGCGTGCTATTTGAGGAAAAATTCAATTATCTTTTAATGTTGTTTAGATTAGACCCTTCAAAGTTCTATGTGACTAAACACTGCAAAAAAATGATATCTTACATTGGTTAAAATTAAAATGGATTTGAGTGGTTTTGAGTTAGATTTAAAATGTTAGTTTTCATTGCTTAAATGGTTTGATTATCATTTAAGATAATTTATCTTTAATTAAGAAAAAGCATTTTCTAAAGGGGAAGTACATTTTTCTTTGCCTTGTGCCTGATTTGGTTTGAAATATGAGGTAACGTTTTTACATAAGTAAAGAAACATTAAAACAAACAAAATAATCTAGGTCTATCAAGTAACTAAGTCTACAGTAGTAAAAACTTCTCAAATAAAAAATAATATCCTGAATTCAAGTCATTCTAACTAATCTGAATAAATAAATCAATATTTCTTTTTTCCACTCACTCTAGCCTTAAAATTAAAAACAGCTCAAAGTTTTAGGCTAAAATTACAACTAGTATTAGTATCTAAAAGAACTTGAGTTGACCTTGAGTTCCCCTTTAGCCACTCTGAATGCCAGCTCCACCACACTGCCCGCTGCCATCCGTGACGCTGTGGACGTGTGAGCCTCGTTCCAGATGGTGTCATTGTCAACCTGCAATACAATAATATGAATACATTATTATGAATACATTAGTCTATGTTTATATGGGACAAGATCTCACGAGACACAATTGACGCAAGATTGTGCAGATATCCTGAAAATGATCTTGTGAGATTTTTTTTAAAATGTTTGTATGTTGTATGTTTGGTTTGGATAATAAATGAAGCAAAGTACTGGCAGTTACATTTTTGGGAATCTGTAGTCCCAAAAAGCAGTGCTACATTGACAGCAGAAATATTAAATAAAGTAAATAAAAATGGTGATGCTAAATTTGGGAGCTGGATCATATAATTTATTAATTATAAACTCAAAATCTCGTCTTGTCTAAAGTTACCCAATGTTTGTATGCTTCTAAAACTAAACTGAGCAGACTTCTCCCTTCTGTTTCACCATTGTGTGACAGGTGTAAAGTGAGTAATGGTTCATTAGGTCATTTATTTTTTATGTGTCCTGTACTCAAAACCTCTTGGTCTGAGATTTTTCATTTATAAAGTACCATAGAAAATTATACTGCCTGATGTTCTGACTGGTGCTTGGGTATTCAGATCAAACATTGACACAGTCCCAGATAATTCAGCAAACCATTATGTTTGGCACGATTATCGCAAAGAGGACAATTCTGAGGGAATGAAACACCACAACACCTCCCTGTTTCCATAAATGGTTAAACTATATGATGTCTTGATTGTATCTTGAAGAGATTCAGTACAGTCTCTCGGACCAGAGATAAATTTACGAAAATTTCAGGACCTTTTATAGATGATATTAAGCAGAGGACTCGACCTCAAACTTCAAAGGACTGCTTTCTCATTTGAAACAGGCAAACAACAAGTTTTTTTTTTTGTACATATGTGCACTGGCAGTGTTTATGTGTGTTTTTTTAATTGAAAAAATGGAAACCAAATAAACAACATCTTGAAAAAAAAAAAACTAATCTTGTCTGTTTCTCGTTGATCCAATCTCGTGTCTCGTCTCATCTTGTGGAAATGATCACATCCCACCCCAATGCATTATTATGAAACTTCTTGTGGTGTAATAAATTTATATTTTGGAAAAGTGGAATATGAAAATATGTAATAGGCCAAATGGGAGCCTACATAGAGTTAACTAATATAAAAAAACAAGCACAATGACATAATGCAGATCTACACTTTGCATTTTGTTTTGGATAAACCATAAACAAACTCACCAGTACCAATAGATCAACTTCAAACCTTCATATTTCTTTGAACATTAGAAGCGTCTGCTCCTCTATTTAGCATGTATTTATTTGTTTCCATTCGTAGTAAAAGGCTTATAGGACAAACAGATGTGTTTCTTGGCTTTTTGCGAGTATTGTGTTTTAGCTGTTTATATTTAAACCCCCTGGAGGCCATAAAAGAATATTTAGCTCTTGTATTTGAAAAGACGGCCTGACATCCAGCTGCGATTGGATCTCCACATCATTCTTTCCTCTCTCCTCTTCTCTGTTTGTTCATAAAGCGGCATTACTGTCCATCTGGCTCGCTGACAATGAAATCCAAAGCATTTCTTTTATCCTGGCTCGTGCACATGCGGTTCCCATTAGTTTGACTTGTCATGGTCAGACACGGACTGTCAGGCAAAAGTTAGCAAAGCGCACGGCCAGCTCTCTTTTCCTCTTTAATATCCTGCCTTCTCTCCGTCTCTCTCTCTCTCTCCTAATTTCTGTCCTTGGTCGTCTGTTCTTTTGAAATAATATTGCCTTTCATCAGTACAGTGATTGTATAGAATAGCGTTCATTAAGGGCTTTGGGGCATTATTGCAGTAGTCTCTTACCCCGACTCCGCCACACGGTAACATCACGAACATGCGCTGGGAGAGGATTCCTGCAGAAATAAAACAAAATGAGTTAAGCACCATATGATGCGTCCACAGGTTGGTTTCTTCTGCATGTTTGTTAAAATTATATTGTTATTGTGTAGAAATATTACATGCAGTAACAGATAATGGCAAATCTCTGTTGTGACTATAAGCATGTCTTAAATATGTGACTAACCAGCCAGTTTGCGGTTGTCCAGTTTGAGCCTGTTGAGTGGGTTGGTGCCGTACAATAGCACATGCTTCTCTGAGTGGACAGACTGCAGCTCCTCTAGTGTAGCCTTACGCCCACGAATAGTCTATTGGGAGAAGAAATTGGATATTATTACTTTCTTATAAAATTTCTGCTAACACAATATTAAGACTAGCTTAGATAGAAAAATGGCAAATTACTTAAATTACTCTGCAAACTCCTTTATATAATTTTTGTTGTTCTTAATTTTTATTGAATTAATTTAATAATAATTCATAATTCACAAATTTTACTCCATCTTCATAAGAACGTGAATTAAAGGAGTTGGTCAACTCTTTGTCATGATCATAAAAGAACACAAAAATATTACATAATGGCACAATAGTGGACTGTACTATGTAAATTACAAAATCATATTCAAAATAGTACATTCAGACTGATTTCAGATACCTCACACTGGCCCTTGAGCCCTCTCTCTGACAGACGAGACCAGATGCTCTGGATTCTCCCAGCATGCTCTGGGTGATTACTGTTGTCTCCACAAGTGCACTGGTGCTTCAGCATGGGTGACTCATACACCAGACCTGGACAGATACAGATTTAAGCATTGAACATGGCAGTTTTCAACTTTAATAACAAGTACTGGCATTTACAACTTCCAAATACAAAAAGTAGGCCACCCACAAAATGTTAAATTGAACCTAAATGCCTTATGTTGGATTTCATTTTCAGGACACGAGCCTAGATACATTAACTTGATAAACCAACAAATAGGAATCTACTTTTACCATTGTATTTGAATGTATAGACCCCTTGTTTATACATTTTCTCTCAATATTCTCCATATCATTTAAGGATCCCTTCAAATCATTTCACAACCTCCATAAAAGTAACAACCCCCAGGCTGAGAATACTGTCTAGTATACAGGTAAATAAGGCCCCTGCAGTCCAATGATTTACAAAACCCATCTTGCTGTTTTCTACCCTGAATCATTGAGTTCATGCTACACTGGATGGTAAAGTCAGCAGTACAAAACACAGCCATCATGACATTGCTGTGTTTACATTTACACTGTGTAGTCGGAACAGTGAGGCTGACCTGTTGTGAAGCGTGGCTTGGCGCTGACCTCCTGACCGGGCAGAGTCAGGGTTTTCTCAGGCAGGGTCAGGGAGGTGGAGGCTGGGGAGGACTGTGTGCGAGACAGGGGCCGATGGGCCACGCCCCCTCCTGCTCTTAACACGGGCACAGCCAGAGTCTCCATCTGACGGTGGAGCTGCTGCAACTGCTTCTGCTGCTCCCACAGCAACGACTACACAGCACATTAGGCCAAGGATTACAATCAATAAATAATCAAGGTACAAAAGAGAAATTTGCGTCACATTACATCAGTTTACTGACTACATTAAAATGGGACAGACAAAGATAGACAAACCATGTCACTGGTTTGTAAAATATATATATATATATATATATATAAAAATTCTGAATATGACTAGAATAATATGAGGCATTATTGAACCTGGTTGAGAATGAGGGCATGCTGTAGGTTCATCTGCTCTTCATGGCTCTTAGAAACAGGCTCTGTCTCCCTCAGTGATTCTGCCCTTGCTCTGCTCTGATAGGGGGATTCTGTAGGTGAAGACCCGCCCCCATCCTCAGAGTCCATCTCCTCAGAGGGGATCTGGTGCAGCCGAGGCTTCTCACTGGACTTGGACATGAGCTGTGATGTCAACAAGATGAAATGTTTATTAGCAGAAATCAGAAGCCTTCACCTTATGTAAGGGCATGCATTTCATAAGTCATGCATAATTTAAAGAATATATTTGGAATAATATTAATACATAATAATATTTGTACCAACGTTCTATTTTGTTAAAGTAGACCAAGCCCATTCAGTGCAAAACTATCTCTACATCTACACCAGTATTCATGACTGTATATTTGTTAAATGCAGTATTTATTATGGAATACATAAAACTTTTAGAACTGACCGCTGTAAATAATATTTAAATGCTATTTGCATTTTCTCTTAGACTTTGACAAACTTTATTGATCCACAAGATAAATTATTTGGAATTTCCCCCCCTAAATACTGCAATTGTGGTGGCTATACTAATTTGTTATATAAATAAGGTCCATGTAGTATAGGTTCCTTTTACCTTGCCCAAGTGAGTCTGTTGCTTGAGCCGCTCCAGCAGCTGTGTGCTGTGCTGTTGTTGCAGGAGGTGAGAGTGAATCGCTCTGGGGCTGGGAGGCAGCGGCTCAGAGCGAGTTCTGCTCAGGGGTTTATGAGGAGGAGCACCCCCTGGAGACAGGTGGTCTAACTGCGAGAACTGCAGCGGGACGCTTTCTAAACCTGAAACTGGAGTTTGAGAGGAGGTACAGTAAGGTGCATGCAAATAATTTTTATATTTTATCCATTCATCATTATTTTTCAACAGTCACAATATGTTTGAGAAGGAAAGAATGAAGCTAAAGCCTTATTCTGGTTTTACTCCTAAACAACAGTTTGTTAACTGTTAACCCATAAATCCATTTGCACACTGTAAAAAGTAAATTTTTTATATTAACTGAATGCTTTTTAAACAAAAACACATTTTTTATAACTCTCAATAAAGACCTTTTAATAGAGTTTTAAAATAGTTTTATATGACCACATTATTTAATCTCATCACTGTTACACATTTTCTGAGCATAAGGCTGCTGTAGCCAAAATTTGCCATTCGAATTATAAACACCAGTAGATCACCAGAGCATCACCAGTAGAGGGAGCTCAAGAACTACAAACTCAGCTTCAAAAGTGGAGTAGCAAAACAGAATCCATTGTACCGTATGATTATTCAATTACATAAAACATGTATTTTTTTAAATTATAAAATTAAAAAATCTTCCAAAAGTGTACTTCTTACCGGTGAGCAGTGGAGAGTGCACCAGACCGGATGGCTCCAGGATGATGACAGGCAGAGGGTGAGGGTTCAGCTGCCCACTCTGTTCCTCTCTGCTTAGGGGCACAAAGACAGGAGAGCCCCCTGCAGTGACCAGAGGCACCCGGCCCACCTTCAGAGAGGACAATTCCCCATCTCCCTGCGCACACACACATCCACACATAAACACCACTGAAACTACTCTAGATCTTAAGATATGATGTGTACATAAAATTCCCTATTACTGTATTACCCGTGCATTGGCCGGCAGTCCCAGTGTGATCGTGGGCTGAGAGGAGGGACTGTGGACCGTGAAGTTGGCCAAAGTGCCGTCTCTGAGCAGGAGCCTCTGAGCCTGACAGATTTAAAAATACGGAAGTGAAACTATTATTAAAAGACCCATCAGGGGAAGAAGAACTGATAATCACCCGTAGATACAAATGCAATGTCCTTGAAATAGCTTGATACTAGAGGCTGCTAGCTAAAACATTTTGGTACAGATGTAAAAGCATTTCAGAGTACACTTTTTTCCATGATTATTTACATTATAGATTCTCAATGAAAGCATCAAAATTATGAACTAACCACAAACTTATTTTATATATAATAAATTTACTAAAATCCCTGGTTTTCACTTTTCACATTTCTATGCCCTGACGCATAGATATGTGAAGTAAAAACCATTTCAGGAAATTTCATCAAGAAGTTCATTGAGAGAAATTCAAGAGTTTGCAGTGCTGTCAACAAAGCAAAGGGTGGATACCTTGACGATTTAAATTTTAAATAATTAGTTGAGTTATTTTACTTTTTTCTATACTAAAAAAATACCATATATCTTGCATCATATATTTGAAGTCTTCCTTATGTGCATAAAATGTAGAAAGTAGTACATAAAGAAAAAAAAAAACACTGAATGAGATGGTGTGTCTAAACTTGTCACTGTCTTACTCTTAATCTGTAAAACTACCAGATAATATTTTGTTCCTTTTGAGCTCCTTTTTGCTTAATTGCAGATGTTGCCTGGTGATTGCGTGCAGAGCCACAGCAGGTGTTGACTGAGGTTGCGGTGTTCTGACTTCCTGTGATTAAATGAATGATGCAGAAACATCTGATAGACTGAGCACTGCTGCTGATTTAAACATGTCATTATGTCTACCACTGATCCGCTCATGTCTATGAAACACTCAATGCACCTCACTAACAAAGTGTTGTTCCTAAAATCAACCACGATAGAGGAAAAGCCTAATGTTGGGTGTATAATTAAGTTTATATTAAATGTGATAAACAGACACACACCTCATGCGAGAGACCAGCAGAGGGCAGCAGACCATCATTGGGTGCACTGTCATTGGGAGAACTGCATCCAGAGACAGGAGTACTGCTGCTGCTGGGAGAAGAGTCTGAAAAGAAATGTTTAAATACATTTAAGGTTTTGTTAAAGGTCCTATATTACACAAGCTTTAAGACATGTTAAAATGTTGTTACCTCCTCAACAACATACCTGGATTAATAGTCATAATATGCATTATTAGTCTGTCTATCTCCAAAGCTCAGTATGCTCTTTTCCACCTTGTGATGTCATGTAATGGTAGTTCTAAAGTTAACATCTACCTTTTACCTTTTCTTCAGTGGACACTGGCAATTCCATGCCTTAAATTATTTAAATGATTCTAGTGAATGTGTATGGAGTTTAAAAACACAGTGGAGCACTGTCTGTATTGACATTAGGGTTTACTTCTTGACAGAGGAACTAACTGTGCAGGCTTTGTGTGTTAAACATGTGTGAAGGAAACAAAACACAACTCCATATATGTTTTTGAAGAGGAAACAACATTCCAACATAACACAAACCTCAGTATATACAGACTAAATCCTGCTTACCCAGTGTGTCAGGGACTCTGTGTGTGTGTTTGACGGTCGGGGGAGCACTCTCTTTACGCGTCAGAGGGCTCTTCCTGGTGTGCAAGTGTTTCTTCAGCTTGTGTTTCACCTTCAGATTTGGCTCAGAGGCTGAAATCACAAGGACATTTTGGTTAATTGATTATAATAAAGTGCATGCTGTTGAGAGTTGCAACTAACTTATTTTAGAGGTCGACTGGTCAGATGATTATTTATATCATACATTAATACTTTTTAAAGTAAAGGTTGAAGTACGGTGAGTGAAGGCTTCTAAATAAAGAAGTAAATAAAGTGTATTACTGATGAAAAAGGGAAACATGATATTTTGATTTTGATATAATGTAAGCTATTGACTTCTTTTTAGTGCCTACAAGTCAAACAAGTCTTTTTATTGTACACAAGACTTTTTCAAATACATGTTGAAGTATGATGAGCGAAGACTTCTAAATAGAGAAGTAAATATTAGTGTTAACTGTATTACTGATAAAAATGGGAAACACGACATTTTGATTTGAATTCTAAGCTATTGACTTCTTTTAGTAGTCTACTAGTCAGCTGTTAAGTTTTCGATTAGATAACTAGTCAAACAATTATTTATATTGTACATTGAGACATTTTACATGCGTATACATTACCAACCAATACATGATCAAACAAATAAAGGTTGAAATACAGTGAGTGACTAGAGAATCAATAAAGTGTATTAGTGATGAAAATGGAAAACTGTTTATTTTGATTTAATAACTTTTGTTATAAAAATACCTTTTCATATGTGTTTTAGAGTGTGTCTAGTCCAGGTAAGGATTAAGTCATCTCTATGATGAACTGTTGATTAGTACAGTCTTTAACCAGATAGCAGATGTTGTACATATGGAGCAGCATTTTATGGATCTAGTGCCTATGTATAGCCCAAGATAAATTTCTCCAGGGGACAATAAACTTTACCTATCATTACCAAATACAATTGCAATTATTAATACACAAATTATCTTTCTTATCATCGACTAGTCACAGCTAGTTCATGAATGGTTGTAGCCCTAGAGAGGACAGTTGAGTTTATGGCTGTAAACTGATGAAATCAGAGAGTGAATGCAAAACATGTGTGCACCTGCTCTACGCAGCGGAGTCCCCTCTGAGGCCTCACACACAGACTGAGACGGAGACAGGGCCAAAGGGGAGGATGAGACATTGGGGTCCGGGGCCAGCTTTCTGTAATACAAGAACATAAAACATAAAGTGAGTAAATATAAAAGTGAAATGAACTACATCAGGTAAAACAGACTGACCTGTACGGGACAGCAGGAGAGGACAGAGGGTTCGGGTTGGACCTCTCCAGAGCCTGTTTCTGCTTCTTCAGGATCACCTCCTGCAGTTTCTGTTTGACCAGGGAGCTGGCCACTGCACCTACAATGACACAAAGGACATACACTTTACAAGTTACAGTGGGACGACTCCAGCCATTCAGGTACATTTTGGACTGCAGTGTTTGTGTAGTGATGCCCTTGTATAGTGATGAAATGTATAAGAAAAGTGCAATGGGACACTTAAAGGCGCTGCGGCGAGTTTTCCCATGACAGTAAAGCTTACAGCAACTAGCATGCTAAGACACACCTGCTGATTATCAGACAATAAAATGCTTTCCAATGAGTTGCCGACAATACCGACAATACATACAGAGCCTTTAGGAACAGCTAAAACATGGAAAACATTATACACTATTTCATTGTAATGTACAGTTATGGCAGTATATTTAATAACTATCTGAAAATGCAGTGACATTGTTGGGGACGTGTGGTATTTTTATTACAATTGATAATCTGAATGGGACTACCACACACACACACACACACACACACACACAAGCACACACAAATACACATATAGTGGCGACAGGAGGTGCGAGGAGCGACCGAGTCAATATTGACCCACTGACTTTTATGTGCCCAGGGCCAGAGCTATATTTAACTCCACTGTTGTAACTGCAGCGGCTCAGGTATATTTAGCCCCCACTTAAAAGACACTGAGATAAGGCTCTGGACATATTGTACATTCATTTTTCAGAAATTTTATAAACACTTCGCAGAGGGGATTTCCACTTTGGAATTAGCAAAGGTCACCAGAACAGTATGTGTTAAAGGCGCACGATGGAGGGTCTGGCCAGCTGCTTCTGTCCATGGAGATGTTATTTCTTGGCCTGGAATGTTCCACAATATGGCATTAAATCATAGATTATGTAATGAAACGGACTAAAAGAGTGTGATGCCGCCCTTAGCGTTTGGCTCCAGTGAAATGACGCTCACGAGGCCAGCAGTTATAGAGGTGAATTTGGAGCAGAGTTCCATATTAGGCATAAGAATTCATTTATAGACAAAATAGTGAAATAAAAAGACCAGGATCATGTAGCAGCAGTTACAGAGAGAGCGGTGTTTACAAGGAGACAAGCAGGTAATGCCACCAGGTTATATGTCAGATATGTCAGATCTGTGGAGAAGTGATCTTACTCATAACAAGAACGCTTTTTCAATGTGTTTTTCAGTTCTCAGTTTTCAATTGTATAAAAGTAACATAAATAATTTAAACATCAGATTGTGTAACATTCCAGACAAAACAATAGGATATTCACGGACACAAGCACGCGCACATACGCACGTCAGAAAGGTTCCACAGTGCATCATTAAGTGCAGTGAGACTTGTGGTGACATGTCTGGCAGTGTAAAATCTGAGTGTGTTGAAGCTCACTTTGTTGACTCTTGTCCTTGTGTTTGAGCTGCTGTAGCTCCTGCTGCTTCTCGTGCTGCTCCTGCTCCCGCCTCCTCTGCTCCATGTTATACTGACCCGCAACAAAGGACAGTGTTAATAATGCAAATACAGAAGATTACATTTAAACTACTAGTCTGGATAGTATTATTTGGAATAGCACGACACTTTACAGCAGGAATGTAGAGCTGTGCATTTGTTACTGACCCCAAACAATACTGTAAAATTAAGTATTAAAGACATTTTGTATATTAGACACTACTACTACACTAGTAGAGTGGTACAACTGCATAGTGATGTTATATGTGTTCAGTGAATAGAATGAATGGTAGTCCTCAAAATATGTATTGTTGGTGCCATTTTCTATGTTGCAATTTAGGCTCAGATTTAGTTCAGATTCAGATTCAGATTCATAATATAATTTGATTTATATTCAGTGATTGCATGTTACATCATATTTAGGATTACATTACTATATTTGATCATTTGTATTTAGTGACATTTTCATTTAGTTTTGAATGAGTTCAGATTAATTCATTTTAGAATTTCCAGATGCATAGTCAACAGGAGCCAGCACCAATATGACGCTTTGAGCTTGCGCATTCACGGGAGGTAAAACCATTGTTCTGTTACTTGTGTGAGAATTTCAGTAAAAACGAGGCGAACACACTGTTTTCTACCGTTGTTAAAACCTTAAACACGAGTGGACTTGTTCTTTCCTTCTGAAAGTGGTAAATTGCATGAATACGATAAGAAGAAGTCACTGAACACAAGAAGGGAAATTTAGCCACTTCATGTATGGTTTCGCTTTTATACTGATTTTGCAATAAGGTTCCAACAAATCAAGCTGTTAAATATATTACTCATTATTTTTTGACAATTTGCAATGTTGACAAAAATGAAATTTAAAACTGTCCTATTTCTTGCTGGGTAAGATTTTTACAATAGTATGTGAAACAGTACTCTTGTCTAAAGTAAAGTCATCCAACCTGTCCTGCACACATGGTAATATATGAAAGAGAGACTTCTACTTTTACAATGTAGTAGTATTCTTACATGAATATTTTGCTACTCCATTCCTATACCCTTTGTGTAACACAGTCCACATGTTTTACACCTACCCGTATGTGATGGTGCAGTTGTTGCTGGGAGAAGGAGGCGCGGGGCTGGGGGGAGTAGGGGCTCAGGAGCAGGGGCGTGTGCAGCGGGGTGAGGAGCGCCGTGTCCGACCCTGAGCGCATCCCCCGCTCGCTCACCACCCTCAGGTCCATGGGAAACGAGGCCGCGCACGACACCGGCACCGCCACCGTGGAATCTGGGAAGAGGAAGCAGAATCCGTCACAACTTTCCTCACCTCTGTTTACACCCAACAATGGTTCAAACGAGGCAGGTAAATCAGTGTTTGGACAGAGGTGGAATAATATGCGCTTTGAGCTCGTTTCAACACACGGAGGAAAACCACAAACCAGGGTTCAAAAATAGAAGCAGTTTCCAAAGCTGTGGGAAAAGTGAGTACATGCATTTAGATACAAGCTTTGCAAGAAAAATACTGCTAAAAATATAACACTTGTGGTCACATCGTCCCAAACAATCTGAGGTATGCACCATGGTTGAAAATTCCAACATCCGATACAGGAGAAGTCAATAAATACAAATTGTAAACATGCTTTGTGTACAGTGGAAAAGTCATCTATCACTATAATAAACTATGTGTCCAGAGGTGAACCAGGGATTCAGATTCAGGGGTAAATTCTCTGACCATTAAGGAAAACTGTTTTTTTTTTTACACATCTTCTTTGAATGTTACTGGGTTGAAACCAATGGCAAGTTTAGTAGTTTATCAGTCAGAACAAAGTAAGGGTTGAGTTTATGATGCACATTTGAAGAGCTTCAGTTTAATTCTAGTTAAGCAGCAAACAAAGGTGTGTACTCAGTTACATTTATTTAAGAAACTTTTAAGTAAAAAAGTAAAGGCACTCTGTTCTACCTTCTGATGTCTTTTGGTAATACAGGAGGTATTTCACTGTACTTTTAAAGTCCTTACAACTTCCCTAGAATCATGTGGATGATTTTGGACCTGGAATTACCCATCTGAACTGAACAAAAGGTAAAAGGTAACTGTTAAACACTTTATGTCATCACAAGGTGGAACAGAACATTTTGAACTTTGTTGATGTAGACAGACTAATAATAAAGGGTTACTGAAACATGTTTGAGTGAAACAAAACAGAACTCTAGGTATGTTTTTATGAGGTAACGCCATTCTAACACAGCCTGAAGCTCACACGAGTCAAATTTGCGTAATATAGGACCATTAATGCAATGTAACATTTGATTTTCCTTTTTTTTGCACTGCAGTATTGTTGTGTTTTCTTTAAATAGCCCCTAGATTAGTAATGGTAGCTTTGTGCACACACATATAACACACATACAGATTTCCATGCTTTTTGCATTCAGTTGGATCTATTTGCATTGCATGGCTGACTCAATGGGAAAGATTGCCTCATCCGGCGCTAAAAACAGGATCCAGGAAAGGAACGGCTTGGGAAAAGGCTGGTGGTGGTTTCTGTCTAAGTGACACAGACACACACGCACACACACACACGCATACACACACACAATTACATACTGGACCAATTACACACACACAATTACTATACCGACTTATCGTTCAATATATGAAAGCTGGAACAATATTTTTGGGGATCAGTATCAGGTGTAAAGTTTCTTTGCACAACTGGGAAGTTTTTGATTATTTTTGGCTATATGATAAGATTTAAGCCATAAAACGTTGAACTTCTGTGACTCATGACAGATGCAGACTATGTACTAAACTGTTTCATTCTGATTTTTATTTTTATTTAGAATATTTTTTTGTGGTTTAAATCTGCTCTTGGGTTATTATGGCATAAATTAGTTTCAACATTAGCGTTTATTGTCTATATTTACTTCAGCAATATATAGAACTTCAAAATTTTTTATCGTGACACACACACACACACACACGCACACACACGCACACACACATACTGGATTAATGGCATCATGCATATCTGAGGGAAACACAGAATCAAGCACAGGTGCATGTGTTTATACAAACCACAGACAAACCCATATAAAACACATTTAAAGCAACACAGCACTTTTTACGTTTGTTTCACAACACACACATATAACATCAGCTGTTCTCTTTCCTGCTTTTGTTTTTATTCAAATCTTGCCATTTTGTCACCCTGATACCTCCTTTAAAGGTGCACTGTGTAACTTTTAGTGGAGGGTCCATCACCATAGTATGTCATTAAACGAATTTATCTCTACGGAGGCAGCAGGTGTCGCCACAGGGCCAAGTTACATGTCGAATCTGTGGAAAGGCAAGCCCACTCACAGTGAGAATGCACGTTTTGAAGTCAATAAATACCCATGTTATTGAGTAAGTTTAATGCCATCCTGGGACATTTCAGAGAAAGCAACATCTCCTTGGAGAGAAGCAGATGGCAGACCTTCCACCAGAAAGTTACACAGTACACCTTTAATGACAAAACGTGTCACAATAACACCTTGCCAGTATCAGTGTACTGTATTTCAATATGTTGTTTAAATGTGCTATCCTCTTATCCATGTCGTCTATAAGAAGCTATTGTGCAAACCAGCTGCTTAATCCAGAATGAAGATACAGTTCAATAATTTGCATGTCTACAAATTCATGGAAACTATTCGAATACCTTGGACGTGCTGTTTCAATGCAAAATTTCTAGTTTTTCAAGTTCTGAGATAGCAAATGCCCTATATTCTCAGTAACATAGATAAGAGATCCACTTGACAGTCTCATCCCTGGTTCAGTGCAATGTCATGGATCACCACCAGTCACTGTTCATTTCTTCATTGGCTCGCCTTTACACAACAGTGTATTATAAACCTCATGTCACACACTCTTAAACTAGGGCTCAACAATTAATTAAGTAAAGCTCAGCCCACAAGCCTACGTCATCCATGCTCTCAAATGACAATTTTCCATAAATATACTAAAGCCTGATACGAAACTGTACACAACAACTTGACAAACCTGATGTGATGTGCAGTAGTTTCATTAGTGGGATGTACAATGATTGTGCTCTGAAGGGAGGTGACTTAGCACGGAGAGCGAAGGGAGGGAAGGGAAGGTAAAATGGTTATGTAAATATGTTATGAGTTAGCAGGAGTAGAAAAAAACACTTTTAGAGTTGTTTATAATGTGCACTCTGAGCAGTATCTTACTTTTTATACATACATCATGATAACTGCAAGTAGACCATGACGCACATTGCAGAAAAAGCACTTTTCCTTTAAAAAACACTAGCCTACTTCCACCATACACACCTGCAGTTGTTTGCTAACCGCTCTGGCTTGCATGTTGCTGCAGCCCAAACTTCACACCGCTCGACGCTCCACACAGACACATGCACACAAAAGTTTCACATGGTTTGTTGTGACATGGTGGTGCAGCGTGAGAGGAAAGTGTCACAGATGTAAAACATGGGCCTCCCTACAGCAAATACCTAGAAATGAGAGAAAGGCTGCACCATAACATACAAACATGCCATGGTGGAGATTGCTTCCACTAGAAAAGGCACACACAAGCATACACTGTCCTGTACAATGGCTCCACTTTGTATGTTCTCATTAACATGTTTGGGTTCATACCACAACAGTGCGTGTCCGTATTTGGGTTCACTCAACGGACTGCGTGAATAGCGGCGAGCATGCACACAGCTTTTGTAAGGACAGCGAGAAATAACAAGGCTTTTCTTCGCGTGGAATTGGAGAGGGGAACGCGCTTATACAAGGAGACAAAGGCCGCTACAGTTCGCACACATCCACGGCCAGCGCAGTGTCTCGCTCCCTCCCAGCTTCCCAAGGGTTATAAATAGAAAAACACACAGCTCCGGAGTTTACCTACACAGGGGCTTTTGTTTCCTCGGGAACACACACACGTTTGTATAGGAACGCGCTGAGGTCACTTCCACTTTCAGATGGATGGTATAAGTACACACCTGGACAGATGTTTGTTGTGGTAGGTAGCTTAGACTTACCTGCTCTTAAACCACAGTTATGTATACATTTTTGTAGAGTAAGGGTTACGGTTGTAGCGATACTAAATTTCCAAACTCAATTTTGATACTAAGGAAAATACTACTCCAAAAACAGTGCATTTTTGACAGAATAATCATAATAATCAACACAGATTGCAGCTTCTCAAATAGCACCATGTGGTCTTGTACTTTTCTAGTTCTGATAAAGAGCAATATTGTTCTAAAACTATCCTACTTTGGCAAGAGCTGGGGCAGGAGGCATGAGGGGGCAGGTCTGTCAGTCTGTATACACAGTTTGTAATGATTACTTGTGTTTTTAATTGTGTTTTTGGACCACATTGATAATTAGACGGCACTTCTCAAGGGGCAATAAATTAAAATAAATTCAAATTTCTATAACATTTGTCAGTATCGATACTAGTTTTAGTATCATTTAGCCTTTGAGTATTTAACATGAAAACTGCATGTTTGTTACTGCACAAGTGAACACTTTGCAAGCTGCACTAAGAATTTTAATGTACAGTTTTATTTGCAGACTGAAAAAAATCAAACAATGAAATAATAATGTCACTCACAAATATGAGATTCAGAGCATAAGATATGAGTCCAATATGTGGAGACACTGGTATGGTTGTCTTTCAAAAACATAAATGTCCTTGTCTGTTTTAAAAATGAAGTAAAAAATAAAGATGATGATGATGATGATGAATTATGTGTGTTCAATGGGCTTGCATAATGGCTTTCAATTCACAGAAACAATTACGCATAAGCAACTGAAATATACCCAGATATTCTGTTTCTAAGAAATCATGCTAATTTAACTTGCTGATTTCCTTGCTAAAACAGTTGACTTTAAAAGGAATGTAGTAACATGATTATACGCTAAACAAGCTGACCACATAGACCAATAAAAAGGAAAAAGAAACTGTAGGCTTACTTTAAAAATACTTGTCCATTTTACAAAGAATTTTAAACTCTGTCCGCCTTCACATCTGAAACTCAGACTCACTAAACACGTTCTAAAAACAGCGCAAAACTCACCTTTTCCTTGCAGTGTGTTACGTTAAACACCTTTGAGTTACTGTAAAAAGCACTGTATAAAACCAATGTATTATTATTATCAACTTTTATATCTACTGGTTAATAACTGCATGAAGTCATTATTCACAGCTGCACCTGTGTTTTGGGCGTTGCATGGAGGCAGGACACAGGGGTTAAAGCTATTATTAAAGCAATGGTTATTACCTGTAATGATATCTTGAGAGCTATAAAAAGACATTAATATGGTTTTGGAACATACAAGCAGCCTTGGCCAGAACAATGGTGTCCTATCCTCCCAGTTTCTATTGATTGAATACATGTTCCTCTGAATATCGAGTATCAAGTCTCCAGCAGAATTCGCCTGAAAACAATGCAGTGGTTTAGTCCTACTTAGACCTCTGTGACCACAGCTAATCCGCACTGTTTTTCCATTTTGGCTATTTCCAGCTAATACACAGCTTAAATGTTTTTAGATCTCCTCAAGAATGCTATTATGTTTCAGGCAGGGAGAACAAGAAACGCAAATCCTTGACCCTGGGGTGGGACTGTGATTTTGATTTAAACAGCTAATGGCCACCACAGCGCCACTATAGATATTTGTGCATATTAGCGTTATATCCATCCTTGATTGTTGCCAGGAAAGTAAAATTACACATTATACATTATAATTTATGCTGACGGGGTAAAATTATAACGGGTAAGTGTTCCTGTCTGCTGTTTTCTCATGCTTGATAAGGTCATTACAGTCTGAATGCCTTTTAGAAACAATGCATACTTATACTTAGATTATGTAAGCGGCGGTGTGTGCTTACCTACCTACCACAACAAAGAGACGCAAGCCGAAACCATCTATCTGTCCCTCCTAACAACAGCATACCTACAAACTGGACCAGAACAGCGCCGCCACAAATATGGTGTCAGGTGTCATGTTATGTAGCGCTATTTCTATTTGTAATATAAGACAGACTATAGGTTTCACACTTACGAACCTCGTAAATGATTTTTTTTTTTTTTTTATGGAGAAGAGGTGTTGGAAAGAAAATACATGCTTTGAATTTTGCCAGATTGCATTTTCTTTCAGACATAGCCTTAAACCAAACTAGACCAGGGCTAAAACTGGATTTAGCCGGACTAAACCCAGATTAGGCTTTTACTAAACACGAATTAATTTCAAAGCCAGAGTAAGCAGCGGCCCTGGTATGTAACTTTTTTTTTTTTTTTCATTATGGATTTGTTTATTCCACTGAAAAAAAAACAACAAAAAACTGTGTCCTTACTCTGAGCGGGTTTGCATCTCCACAAAACTGACTCTTATTTCGCCTGATAAAGGGCCTCTTCCTGCTTGTGTCCATGGAAATGTTGTTCCTTTGACTATTATATTCCACTGTGTGGCATAAAACATACATATATCTCCATGGAGAATGTTAGGGAGTATATTTTTGACTTCCTATTTCCATGAAATGATGCAGTTTCGCTCCTAAAAAGCTACATATTAACAGTAATAATAACAGTAATACACAAGTCGTATATAGAGCTTTTCAAAAGAAACTCAAAAGATGTGTTTCAAGGAAAAAATGAAATATCACTTTAATACAAGATTTTTAGCAGCACTACTATTGACACCTCCCTTAAATATGCGACTGGATCTTAATATAGTACGGTACTTTTAAACTATACAAATATATTCTCTTGCAGCTTGATGACGTAAGTGTAAAATGTGTGAACTTATTTGGTTATGTCTACCTTTCAGCATTTGGGTGATCCTTCAGTTCCTCCCCCTGAGTTCACTCTCCACCTGAGTAAGCCTGGACAGGTTCTACAGGTACGGCCGGGTAACACAGCCAGCTCGCTCTTTGTTTAGCGACCTGTCAATGTTATAATACAAGACAATAGGACACAAAGATAATTCAGTCATCAAAGATGCTGTTTAACACTAGAGAAACCCAGGAAGTCTTAACGTGACAAGTGACAGACACTAAGTTGCCAAATATATTTGCTACCCCACTCACTTTCACTCCTACATTCATTAATGTAGTTCCTATTTTTTTAACATGCACAACGTGGCAACGGAAGTAAAAAAATAAATCAATTGTTAAAAGAAAAGCTGTTCAAAAATAGCCAGCAAATATGAGCGTGTTGTTAAAGAGGCAATATGTAACTTTTGTGGGAGCATGTCGGGGGGCTTGGAGACATTTCTTTTTACTAAAATGTTCCACAGTATGGCATTAATTACAGGTGTTTTATATTGATGAAAGTACTTGATGAAGGAAAAATGTGAATTGTGAATTTGTAACCTGGCCTGGTGTCATCACTCGCATCTCTTCATGAAGATAGACACGTTTAATGCCAAACTGTTCCATTTCAACATCACAGGCAAAGCAATATCTCCATAGAGACGAGAAAGTGGTCCACCCTCCACTAGAAAAGCTACATAGTGTAACTTTTACATTTGTGCCTTGAGTGGGTAGAGAATAGCCTGATTCATCAGTCGCTTTCACTTCGTGGAAATTGTCTGACCTCGCAGCGTTAGAATTAGTTTGTTCGACAGTAGGTGGGTACTTTTTAATTTAACCAATCGCTGCTATTTGGTTGTGATGTATGTAATGCGCCGCTAACAGGGCTGACTGGTATATTAAGCTTTTCCCAAATCCCGAAGGGCAATAACGTCTTTCCTGTTGATAAAATTCACCAAACATTCTCTTTGTTCCGGCTTTAAATCCTCGATCTCGGGAATCGTTGCAAACACAGAATGTATGGCTCTTCGCTGATTGGCTGGTGCCCAAACTCGCACTTCCAGGGTTTTTGTGAACTGTCTAGTGTATTCTGATTCCTGACCTAGTCACTGGAGAGAAATGAAATTGAGCAGAGGCACTAGGTGGCGCCAGCCTGGCTAGGTAAAGAACATTATGTACAGTATGTTATGAAATTATAATGACACAAAAATGCACCTTTATTTTTATGTGTACTAGTTCATTTCATAAATCCAAATTGGCTGACTTTTAAATGTGGACTGGTCTGTTCTTGACTCAAACACACAACATCAAAGTATTAAAAGCACGTTGCAAATGTTCCCTGTATGCTCAATGATATAACAACAGCTTGGGCAACTTTTCTCATAATAAAAAAAAATCGTTTTATTTCACAACATAGAAATGTCCTTGGTTAAAGCTATTGCTTCATATAATTGCAAGATGACTACGTATGCAAATCTAAATATAGATGTCCTTCTTGTATTAAATGCCATTATTTTGCGGGCGTGTTTGTACCAACTCTGAGCCAAAAAATAAACAACAGGTTCAAGTGCGATTTATGTTACGCAACCAGGCAGAGGAGATTGTGTAAACTAAAAATACACTGGGAAATTTTGAGGGCCAAGTAATAGAGTTGACAGTGAAGATGTTGACTTGACAAACATGCAGGGAGCCATTCCTTTATTAAATTCTTGTTGCTGAGTAACAAATAAACAGCTGATTCAGGCAATATCCGCTATTCAGTAATTGCAGTTACGTAAGGACAACTGATAAATGGGATGTCTCCATATAGCTGGAATATTAAAACAATCTGAAAGCTAATTACAGAAATTGGAAGCAAAAAACAACTTAAAAAGTACAAAAAAATAGGTCAAATGTCTCTTCTGATTTTATTTTTACATGTACATTTATACAATTATGCATTATTTGACACAGTCTCTTTATTTCTCTCTCTATTTCTGCTATTTATTTTGAATTTATTATTACCATTTATATTTTTGCTCTTTGTTATTAAAAAATATTGTGATGTGAGAGCTACTGTGTCCAAATACTGTGTCCCTTGTAGATCAGTAAAGTTTGTCTATTACTTGACACCCAAAATACACAAATGCAGTTAATTGCAAGACAAAGTATCCATAGGTTTGAGAATGACGAAGAATTTGGACTGTTGCCATAACGATTAACAATAAAATAATGCCTTTTGATTCTTATTCTCAAAATGTCACCTATAAACGGGAAGTTGAAACACATGAATAGTCAAACATGTAAATAAATGACCAAATGCTAAAAGTGAGACTAACTCACAAAGTTAATCCAAGAAAAAAAAAGAAAGAAAAAGTTAAATAAAAAATCTGTGTTTTTATAAAAGAAAATGAGTGAAGATATGAATGAATTATTAAAAATACACTAAAAATGAGTAGAATCAGGAAATCTGCAATGGAATTACAAACTAAAGTCCAAACTGCTAGACTTTTAAAACTGCCTACTCTTCTATCAACATCTCGAACCAACTCCTTCTCCAGAAACTGACCTGACACCGAAGCACAAAATACAACCAAACATTACCTGTACAACAATGGGACTATTTTTAGAGCGAAGAGAACAAACCAAAGCTTGTGTGTAAGAGGAAGACATGGAGGCTGATGTATAATGCAATGGGGCTCCGGTTCCCTGGCTCCTCTGAGTTTCCATAAACATCCGCAACCTCTCTCTCCCTCTCTCACCATCCGTCTGTCTGTCCATCAGGCCTCCTTGAACCTTGACACTAATGAATCACAAACACACTGGAGTACGTGAGGTTTCCAGTTACTAGTACAAGTGTTAACAGATATAACCAGCCTCGAGGGTCACCTGCAGAGACTTCAAAATATCGATATATCGTATTGTTTAATGTGATGGTACAGTATCGATATTGGGAGCTGCTGTATTGATATATCGCCAAGAGTACTTTTTGGTATATTTTGTTAAATTATTTAGTTACAGCACTACAGTTTTGTTAATTGTTCGGAGGAAAGAAACTCATTTATGCAACACATTTGACATTTTCACAGTTTTGATGAGTAAAATGAGTGTGTTTTATATGACCTTTGCACAAGAAGTGACGTTTTTAGTATCACAATCATGATTTAGACACAATTTTTTTATTGAACCATATCAAATCGATTTGAAATATATCGTATTAAATCGTAAGATCACTGTATCGAGATGTGTATTGTTTTGTGGCCTATGTATCATATCGGCAACTTCTTAATGATACCCAACCCTACCTGTCATGATAATTACTATATCAATTTATCGTTCAGTATATGATAACTGGAGCAATATATTTTGGGGCTCAAAAATAATAATATCGTGTGCGCATTTTGTTGCAATAGTGTGGAGGTTTCTGTGATAATTTACGTAATAATATAGTAAAATTTGAGAAGTAGTGAGATTTTTTCATCCCGTCACTTCCAGAAGAAATTATTTGTTGTTTCTGCTATTTATTTGTTGTAGCTCATGCTTAATGAGCTTGTATTTTTGAAAATGGTTTACTGGAATTATCTGCTTGATTTATTTATAATTTTGTCAGTGTCATAAAGTAGTTTCAATATTATCGTGTATTGTGTTATGCCACAATATACTGTATCAAGTGTCAAAAGGTGTTTTCATAACAGGCCAATTCCCACACCCACAATGCACGTGTAAGAGTTTTTTTTTTTTTTTATAAAGCATACCTGATTTAACAATAAATCACTATAGGATCACATTTAATGCAAAAATTATCATTAGCAGTTGATAAACAAGATTTAAGCATGCGAAAATCTGGGAGCGATAAGTGACCCTCTATTGTGTGTTCGGACATCTGGTCAAAACTAATATTGTAATTTTTATTTATTGGAGCCGATCCCAGTTATTATGGGCGTGAGGCCGTTACACCCTGGACAATTTGCAGTTAATCACAAAGCTAATATAGACTGACAGACAACTCCTTACTCAGTTCTCACAGTGTACGCGTTTGACTTTTATGTTGAAAACCGATAGGCTTACTGATACATGGAAATATTTGAATGCTCTTTGTAAAACTAATACAATTTGCTTGAAAATTCCTACACACATTGAAATGTAATGAGGCAATGAGGCAACAGTTGTTTGTCAGTGGTGGAAGAAGTACTCAGTTGTGTAATTTAAGTAAGTACAGATGCATAAGAAAAAAAACACTCAAGTAAAATGATCACATGAAAAAATCTACTCAAGTATTAAAGCACCTCTCATACTGACATGTACTTTTTAGTGGAAGTATGTCACACATATTTTGATATCTAATAAAGCTTCAAATGTAGTGATTTTTATAAAGTTTCGTGCTGTGTTTTGTTCAAAAGAAACAACTGATCTTGTTATACTAGCTGTTTTTATTTGTTTAGCTGTTGTTATTTTTTTGTTTGCTCCAATTATGAATGTGTTAAAAATAAACCTCTCAGCCTTTTCAGCAGGTCTCAAACAATAAATGTAGTGAAGTAAAAGTAAATGTATCCACTGTAAAATGTACAGAAGTAAAGTGCAGATACATCAAATTTATATTTTACTACACATAATTTACTACTTTACTTTACTACTTTTGCTTTGTTATGTTCTGGTTATTTTCCAGAAACTCAAAGCTGATTTACAATCTCATGTTTTATTCAGTTACTCCTCCAGTTCTCATTTAGAGGTCGTAAACTAATGCTGAAACCACGACTACTATTTACATTTTAGTAGAGTAGATTAGTGGTGAAGTGTCTTGCCCAAGGACACAACAGTATGCTATGCTGTTATATAATTTGATCTATTTATTTAGTATGTGGTTCCGTGCTCATGAATTTATACACAGATCTATAAAAGCAGTGTCTTATAAGCACAACTGTATTGTCAGTCTGAAAGCACAAACAGAACTTTGTTTGTGGTGGGGACATCCGCCTGTTTAAAACCCAGGCGGCTCACAGCACAAGCTATAATTAGACTCTTCACTCCTGTCATCTTTAAATGGCTGCCACATCCTCTTTTCTTTCTTTTCTTCTTGTTTACCTCTCCTTTTTTCTTCCCCTTTTTCCAACAGCAACCTCCTCACACATCAGATATCGGCCTTAAAAAAAAGG